TGGAGAGACGAGGCAATGAGAAACTGCTCCGATGTTGAGCAGTCGGTCACGATTGACACTCAAATGACTTTTAGGCAATGAACACTTTGAATAATACAAATATTTATAATGTTTATATTCTGGTATCAACAGAGGTGGAGCACCAACATCCCACCCACTCCACCATCTTCAGCATCTCTCATAAGTACCATTTGCCTTTGGAAGACTCTTTCTTACAAGAACTTATATCTCCACAGTAAAATCTCTGTATCAAGCGGTCCACATCACCCTCCTCTATAGTTGTGAAGACTGGGTCACTTACAGACGCCATGTGAAATCTCTGGAGCATTTTCACATCCACTCTCTTCAGCGCATGCTAGGAATCACCTGGCGTGACCAAGTGCCACACAGTGAGATCCTCAGAAGAGCAGGTTGTAATAGCATGGAGGCCACCAACGCCCGTTACAACGATGGCTCGGTCACGTTATAAGGATGCCCATCACTTGGCTGCCTCACAAAGTGCTGCATGGCCAGCTGGCCCAAGGCTCTGCTGGAGGGCAGAAGAAGAGCAAAGACCAAATCAAAGCAGCGCTAAAAAAGTGCAAAATCTGACTTGGAGGTCTTGGCTTCTGACCGTAACACCTGGCGTCAGGACGCCAAGACGGAACAAAAGCAGTGGAGGAGGTGAGGACAGCCAGGAAAGAAGGCAAAAAAGATAAATAACCAAGGTTGCCAGTACCACCACTATGACATACAAATGTTCCACCTGCAACAAGATCTGTGAATACACTCCTCCGCTCTCTTCACTGGCTACCGGTGGCTGCCCGCATCCACTTCAAAACATTGGTGCTCACGTACCATGCTGTGAATGGATCGGGTCCAGCTTACATCCAGGACATGGTCAAACCCGACACCCCGACCCGCACTCTCCGCTCTGCATCTGCAAAACTGCTCGTCCCTCCCTCACTGAGAGCAAAACACTCGAATAGATCACGACTCTTTGCTGTCCACCACAGAGAGCCTTCACATCTTTCACCTCAAACTAAAGACACACCTTTTCAGACTCTACCTCGACCAAAAGACTAACAAATTGTAGCGCTTAAGCGGCATTATAAGTACAACTTATCTATAGCAAGTTGTAACTTGGCTTATTTGATGAAATTGCACTTTCTTGTTTCTTGTTCTTCTAAGTTTGTATCCTTATGGTTGAATGCACTTATTGTAAGTCGCTTTGAATAAAAGCGTCAGCTAAATGACATTTAATGTAATATAAAAGGAGAAACCGTCACAACAATTCCATATATTATTTTTCATTACACTGACTGCAGTCTAACTGGGTTGCTTTTGAATGAAATTAAATGCGTCCGTTAGTAAGCAAGAGTTACTAATTAGCACTAGCATTAGTTCCGGTCAGCTCCAGTGGTGATTTTTAAAAATCTTAAATAAATATGATCTACTGGCACTGCCTTCGATCGCGATCGACCTATTAACCGATCCAATATCGGTTAAGGGAATCAGTAAAGTAAAAAGGACAGGTTGGTTTGTAAAAGAAATATTATTTTAAGGACTCATTGATTCATAAATTTCTGCATTGCAGATATATTCTTGCCATTCAGCATCAGTTTATTAGCTGGATGCATTTAGATTAATTGTTGCAGGTGGCATCCAGTGTGATTTTACCATAGCAAACAGTAAAGCTCATTGAACCTGGACCGGTCCAAAATAGGATGCAGCTATGCAGCCGGTTAAGCTACTGAAAGAGAGGGTGAAATAAAATACAATCATAATAATAAAAAACAGATGTGCATTTTGGTTTGTTTTAAGGATTAAAGTCAGAGATGTTAGAATGTCTTCAATGCTGCACACAGATCTGATAGATCACGGTGGCGGTTTGTGTCCTGTTTTATTTTGTAGTTTCAAGCCTCTTGTGTCCCTGGTTTAGCTTCACTTCCTGCCCTGTCAATCCTGAGTTCTGCTTCCGCCACCCCAACGTGACAGGATGGATCTAACACACCAGGTTAATCATTATTTGGCACAGAAGCTTTTGTGACAAACTATTTATTTGCAATTACATGCTTTTATCAACACGCCAACTTTTCCACCTATTATTTTCCAGATTTTGCCAGGTGGAGGTTAAATACTTAATATTGACCCCTTTAAAAAAGGTAGATGAAAACGCAATTTAGTTCTTGGAATTCACCTCAGACTATATCAAGCATTCACAGGAAGTGAACGTTTTCGCTCGGATGTTACCAAACAGTTTTTGAAGCTTCTGCATTTTTGATGAAGCAATCTTGTTTCCTTTTTGCAAAAAAAAAGAACCAATAGACTGTTGACCTCACAAAGAACACCAAAACATGACAGTGGGTAACAGTAAAAAACTAAGATCAAATCTCAGGTTTATTAGGGCAATAATTAGGCAATAAGGTACGAGAGGGTGTACATTATCTGCTGCGCGTCGGGCATAATAACACCCCCCGTGACTGACACTCAACCAATCAGAACACTGGATTTCATAAAGCCGTATTTTAATAAATAATTAAAATTTTCATTAATCTATAAAATGATAAAAATTGTTTCTTTAAAAACTTTATTTTATAAAATTCACACTATGGAAAATCACCAGTTCTGCTTCAGTGATGCAGGAAATAATAAAATAAAAATATTTATTAAAGGGCTAAACATGTAGGAGGTAAATTTAGACACTTAAAAATCATCTGATATGAAACAGCAAAAGGGCTGCAATACAAATAATAAAAGATCCAAATTTAAATGTCCTGTTGAGATACTATACAACAGTCTTTGGCTCCATAAGGTGGTTTTGACAAAGTCTTCAGATTGTTCAGATGCAGAAGAAGCAGCATCAATTAAATACTTGATGAATCATGGTAGCAAAGGCTGATTTAATTGTGTATGAGTGTCACACATCTAACAGCAAGTATACACTATACTACATTTGCTGTTCTTGCCAGAGATTTAAAATCTGAATGACAATAATAAATATACTAATATTTCAAGGTCAGAAATGCAGTCTTTAAATATTTTTCTTGTGTTGCAATACAGACTTGATCTGCCGACGGTGGTGGTGGTGCTTGGAGTAGAGTGGGTGAGCCAGGAACCACAAGGTTGGCGGTTTGAAACCCTGATTGCTCCATGTCCCATGTCAAAGTGTCCCAGAGCAAGACACCCATCCCCTAATTGCTCCCCAGGCAAAATGTAAAAAACAAAACAAGCCACGGGTTTAAAAATGCAATGTAAGTCGCTTTGGATAATAGCGTCAGCTAAATTACATGTAATGTACATTTTATGGACAAGATTTCACTCTTTAACTGCCTTTGACTAAGTAATGAAGTTACAACGCAGACAATAGTAATTAGACTTATTGACAGGATAGATGGAAGTGACATTGTGTGGATATCATTATAATTTAATTCATTCTTTCCTTTGTCTATTTTTACTTATTTCCATAAAAAAAAAAAAGGTCTTCTCTAGAAAGCTAATTTTTGGGCATTTTCCTTGTTGCCTGTGGTCGCTGAGCCAGTGAGTAGAGAGAGTTCTCTTCGGCGCTCTCAGGTTGATTTCTTTTACATTGCACAGAGGGATTCATTTGCTCTTTGGGATGTTGAACAACAGAGTACACAGAGTCAAATGTGCCCGCGCTCTTTCTACACGCCCCCCTTGAATTGTCCATGAAGATGGCAGCTTGATTTAAATAAAGAGCGTCTGAATATCCATCACGCCTCTCAACTGGTAAATCAATGACTCGGTTGTAGGAATAATTAGAATAGAGAGCATCTGGGTCGGTTTGGTCTACAAGTCTTATTTCTTCGTATCCAGCTTCCTTCAAATAGAAAAGACAGAAAATACTGTTAATTTAACTTAAACAAAACAAGGTGGCAAGCACTCCCTAAGCTTAACAGTCAATAATATTTCAAAGAAAAATACATATGTTTTGTTAAAATCAAATCAAATGAAAGCAAAATAGACTGATCTTTACTAATGAGTGTTTTTCTAAGCGTTCACTTAATGCAGACTGAAAAACAATTATCAGCAGTGTTACGTGCTGAGAATAGACCAGGGCCCCGTTCCTAAACTCTATCAAATGTCCTGTTAGTCAGAATTAATTAACCCGGTGATTTGAAGTCAGGCTGTCCAGGTTCCTCAAAGGCTCAAAAAGTCTCGTTAATTCCAAACAGACTTCAGTTATCAGGATCATTTTGCGTGCATGCAGTGTGTGACACAGTGAATGCTCGGCTGTGTGGTGTTCACCACGTACGGCTCCAGAAGGTCTTTAAATAAATTAATTCCAACCAGACTTCAGTTATCAGGATAATTGTGTGTGTCCGTCCTACTTCAAAAGGGGGAAGCCTTGATCACCAAAACCATGATTTTAACAGTACAACATCAAATAAACACTCTACAAGAATGTAGCACAAAAGCACAAGGCTCTGCATGCAGTGTGTGACACAGTGAATGCTCGGCTGTGTGGTGTTCACCACGTACGGCTCCAGAAGGTCTTTACATAAATGATTCCTGTCGGTAGCATCGATAGCGCTCGTATAGGAACTTATCGTGACCTTGAAGAAATCTCTCCGTATAAAACGTAAATCTAACTAATTAGATTAGATCCTTCATCAAAGAGGAATGGGGCCCTTGTTGTTAGTGGGGTTAGGTGAGAAATGTTTGTCTTTGGCTCCTACATGAACCATAAAAGGTGAAGAATAAGCACCTAGACGAACATATTGTTTTAAGAAGCAGCTTCTGTCTTCCTGCTTCTGCTTCAGAGGAACATTATAGTGTTTAAAAATGTTTGTTTATCAGCATTGTAAAATGATCCTAAATGACATAGAAGTAAGAAATGAGAAGAGAGTGTCAGAGCTGCGAGAGAAATGTGTGAGACTCACACAAGCTGAGGGAACGTGTGAGGAAAACTTCAAGCAAGATGTTTCTGTGAAAGAGTCAATAGAAACTGATTTGAGCCAAAAACTGACCTGTTGTGCGTCTGTTTGCTGTAACAGCACCTGACACAACTTCTGTGAACATAAAGGACATCATTTGTTAATTTGTCTGGTGGAAGCTTGACTGAAGTAGACAAATATCTGCAAGGTGTATTTTAATTTAATCTTAATGTGAATCTTACTCGATTGTTGTTTCATCAGCTTGTTCACAAGCTTGAGTGAGACGATCAGTATGATTATTACGACAATAACACCTATAACCAAATATAGAACATAGCCTGGACAAAGACAGAGAAAGAGGAAGGATGTGAGAAAAGATAATTCACACTTCATTGGTATTTAGCATGTACTCACATCCTCTTTGTTACTAATGAATCTGTCAATAATCACAAACTTGCTTTTCACAGGAAATGAGAACACAGAATTTTTGTTCCATGAACTGCACCATTTTATATTAAGGAGGCAGACATGATGCTGGAAAATGTTATCATTCAAGTGGTACAAGCAAAACTATTGCATTGACAGGTTTGTGTGTATTGATAAGATATGCAACTAAAATCAACATCAAATTGCATGTGTAGTCAATGTACTGTAACATGTTCATGCATGATGTACTCACTAACAGATCCTTGTGCTGGTGCAGCAGGTGGTGTATTGAAGGTGGTGTATGACGTAGACGTATCAGTAATAACATCTGAGCTGTTAGAAGACATCGTGGAGCTCTTTGTAAATGAGGAGGTGGGAACAACAGTGACAGTTTGTGGAGTCATGCTGGGACTGGGGGGCGGAGCTGAAAATAACAGACAAGTGAACATACCAACAATTAAGAAATGTATTACTTTTGGGCAAACAAGGATTTTCTCATTGAGAATATTTAGAGAATAAACTCACCATCAGTGACATTAAGAATCACCTCTATATATGCGTCAAAGCCAAATCTCTCCGCTCCACAATAGTATGTTTTGGAATATGACTTTTGGAGATTGCTGAAGGTCACGAACAAGGTTTTTCCTTGGTTATATAACTTTATTCCATTTTTATTTTCAATTTTTCCATATGCTGCTTTAATGATGATGTGTCGGTCCTCCGTGCATGGACTGTAACAAAAGTACTTGACATTCTCTGTTACATAAGTCCAGTCTGAGCAGCTGATTTTCACACTTTTACCAACACGACCATTTATGTTCAGAGGCTTCATCTGCACAACACTCAGACCTACAAGCAGAAATAAAGGAGACATTTTGCCTTAGTCATAGTTCATACGTACATTTCCTTTGACGTTAGTTTTTACTATTCATGACGGCAAATTTGAAAAATAAAAGAAACCCCTGATTGATTTATATATCTTTCAATCAACAGCTACATCTTTTGTACGCAAGCTACAGTTGGTGTAAATGCAGAAGATACAGAAAAAAACTAACTCACCAGAAAGAAGACAAAAGTAAACATAGATTTTCATCATCGTTAAAGTAAGGGAGTGAGTGATCGAGTGTGTAGGAATCATCAGGTCAGTCAACACCGTCTTCATGTCCCTCCTTCACTTCCTCTTACTGTCTCCAGTTGATACTGTCTCCAGCAAACACAGTATTTACTAGGCGTTGGAACGTAGCGGGGGCATTGCACATGCCAAAAGGCATTACGGTATATTGCACGAAATTGTCAGGGGTCACAAACGCAGAAATCTCAGAGGCACGAGGGGTTAGAGGCACTTGCCAATACCCTTTCAACAGGTCTAACTTCGTGACAAACACCGCGGAGCCGATGCTGTCGATGCAATCTTCTATTCGAGGTAACGGATAAGAGTCTGGTGCAGTAACACCATTAACTCGCCGATAGTCTGTGCACAACCGGGATGTGCCGTCTGGTTTTGGGACTAGGATACAAGGTGAACTCCAAGCACTGTTACTGGCTTTGGCCATGTTGTTTTTTAACAAGTACTCAATCTCACCTTTCATCTTCTCCGTCTTAAACGCATTTACCCGGTACGGGTGTTGACGGATGGGGGTCGCGTTTCCTACATCAACATCGTGTGTCAAAACCGTGGTACATCCAGGTACGTCATGAAACAAGGTGAGGTAGGAGTTAATCAAGGACACAAGCTCTTGAGACTGCTCACATTCCAAATGTTTCAAAAGGGATGGTAACTTTCCCAACATTTCTGTATTACCCATACATTCACCCGGTTTCACTGCATGTCTTAACTCCAGACCGTCCTCCGGGTCATCCTCCAGGTACGCCCCCGCCTGCAGGGCAACAGTGGCCACTGAAGAGACAGCGGGCTGGATGGGCTTAGTGGAGAGAGTGTTAGAAGGACCTCGTGTACGGTATGCTTTCAACATGTTAATGTGACATGTCCGTAACGAACGCCTACGGTCTGGGGTCTTTATTACATAGTTAGTATCGCTGAGCTTACTATCAATCACATATGGACCTGAGAAACGGGCTGAGAGAGACGACCCTGGAACGGGCAACAATGCTAGAACTAGCTCTCCCGGCACAAACGAACGCTCAACCGTCCCCTTATCATAACGCATTTTCATACGCTTCTGTGCAGTCGAGAGGGACTCTTTAGCTACTGCGCAGGCTGCATGTAGCCTCTCCCTCATCTGGCTAACGAAGTCCATCACATTCTTAGGGGCACTGACAGACGTGGGGGACAAAACGTTTTCCTTCAGAACCTTCAACGGTCCTCTTAGTGTATGTCCGAACACTAAATCAGCAGGGCTAAAACCTAACGACTCTTGCACGGTTTCCCTACTAGCAAACAACACAAATGGCACTCCGTCATCCCAATTTGGATTATCCATACAGTATTTTCGGAGCATCGATTTGAGGGTCTGGTGCCACCGCTCGAGTGCTCCCTGGCTTTCCGGATGATACGCACTCGAGACCTGGTGAGTAATACCCAATTCTTTTAGAGAGGTTACAAACAGTTTTGACATAAAATTTGAACCTTGATCTGACTGAAGTACTTTCGGTAAGCCAAATGTAGAGAAAAACTTGATCAGGGCCTTAACTACAGTCTTGGCTGTGATGGTACGGAGGGGAATAGCCTCCGGATACCGAGTAGCACTACACATCACTGTTAAAAGGTATTGGTTACCACTCCGCGTTCTTGGTAAAGGACCCACACAATCCACGATTACCCGTTCGAACGGTTCTCCCAGCACAGGAATCGGATGCAGTGGCGCCCGAGGGATGACCTGGTTCGCTTTTCCTGTTAGTTGGCATCCATGACAGGTATTACAAAATTCCACAACATCTGACTTTAGACCTGGCCAGAAAAAGTGGCGAAGGACTCTGTCATAAGTCTTTGTTATTCCTAGGTGCCCAGCCCAAGCAGGGTCATGGGCTAGGGATAACACTTGCTGTCTGAATGGTTTAGGGACGACCACCTGCTTGACAACCCCTAAACCCCGAACGTTACCCTGCGCTGCCCACCTGCGCATAAGAACGCCAGCCTCCATGAAGTAAGACACCTCTTTTGTGTTTGTTTCCTCAGAAATCACTACACAATCAAAACATTTCTTCAGACTAACGTCTTCCTTCTGAGCCTTAATCATACTCTGTGAGGTTATCGATGACAATATATTGTGTAATTGGAATTCACTTCCACTCTTACCTATTGCAGTTTTCATTGAAGTGGAAATACTGGACTGGGCTGGCTCCACGTTCACACGCTCAAGAATCGAGTCTGACAGGTCCACCTCGTCTCCCAACCTACGGGACTGGGCCCGTGTAAGCACACAAGCTGGGAACACATGAGGGTAAGCCTGTACTAAAATGTCGTCCGTAGGTTCCAGGGTAGGTGTGTCCACCACCTCTAACATGGGTGTTACATGGCCACCGGCAATGTCATTCCCAAGCAAAAATGTGACTCCCTCCACCGGCAGAGTTGGTACCACGCCAACACGAAAACGTCCCGACACTAGTTTGGACCAGACCCAATGCAGTGGTACAGACATGGGGGTTGCTCCGAGTCCTTGTAGAAGGACGTTTGACCCACAGTATGACCCATGGGACCAGGGCAGGCTGTCTGCTAGTACTAAAGACTGCGCTGCCCCCGTGTCACGCAGTATGGTGACGCTCATTTGGCCAACTGGTTCCCCTGTAAGGGACACATTCCCACCTGACACAAACGGAGCATACACCTGATCTGGCTTCTCCCCACCCTCGTTTGTATTATTGCTGTTTGTCTGAGACATGGAATGTATTAAGTTTATGCTTTTCGATCGCACCGGTGACGGTGCTTTCTTGTTTCTCAGAACCGGACACACCGCTATGAGGTGACCGGGACGATGACAATAAAAACACTCACGTGTCTCCTGTGCCGATCTGGTCTCACCCAGAGAAACACGGCTGGCATGAGATGCTGTTGTAGGCGTTGTTGGCGGTCGAGCCTCTTGTCGCGGTGCCGTAAACACTATTTTGTGGGTCAAAGCGTACTCATCCGCTAACACAGCGGCTCGAGACAATGTCGGCACTTTCTGTTCGTTTAAATGCACAACAATTCTGTCAGGTAGATGGTTTTTAAAATCTTCTAAAAGGACCAGCTCCCTTATCTCAGCAAACGTCTTGACCTTGCTAGCCGCACACCAGCGATCGAATAGTGTCTCTTTATCCCTGGCGAACTCTACAAAAGTGCGGGTCTGAGGCTTTTTGTGGTTCCTAAAACGTTGTCTATATGCCTCTGGAACCAACTCGTAGGCCCTTAACACAGTTGCTTTAACTATTTCGTAATCCCCACTCTCTTCTAGAGAGAGAGACGCCACAACATCCTGGGCTTTGCCAGACAGTTTGCACTGCAGGAGGATGGACCAAACCTCCCGTGGCCAGTGCAGCGCCGTAGCCACACGCTCAAATGCTGAAAAGTATGAATCTACTTCAGCCTCCCGGAAAGGCGGCACTACCGCAATATTCTTGCTAACCTCAAACCGACCGAGGTTGGGAGCTAACGGAACCCCAACACCAGCCTCTAACTCGAGCTGCCTGATTCGCACCTCTTTCTCTGCATCTATTTCTTTCTTTCTAAGTTCAAATTGTCTGTCCTTTTCCCTCTCCTCTCGCTCCATCTCTAGGCGAGCCAGCCGGTACTCGAGCCTAGCCGCAGCACTTCTGGACCCAACAGAGGAACGAGGCGAAAGGTCGGCCCTAGGTAAAACCACTGGTGCAGCGGCCCCCAACCCCTGTTCATCACCCAGCAGTGCACCCACAGTCTTTTCATCCCCAGACTCTTCACCTGAGGCCTCACTGCCCTCGTCCATCCCCTCACAAACCCCCTGGTGAACCAACCTTTTTTTTTATTAACTCTAACATCTCTGCTTTGAGGGCCTGCCTTGGGACGGAGATTTTATAATGATCGGCGACGGCGAATAACTCTGACCTGCGCATCCCTCCCAGCTGGTCAAGGGATGGAGCTGCTAGAAAAACAGCCAGTGCTGGAGCAGCCATTCTAGTAGGTACACACTCCACCACCACTACTACAAACCAAACTAGCAACTTGTTGCTGAAATCACACTACAACACCACACCTTCGCACCAGCACCCACCAGGACCTCGTGCTCACAGGGAAGTCGGGAGATTAACGATCCCGGACGAGCCCCCACTTGTTACGTCTCCCTTAGTCTAGGTGTAAGGGAGCGCAACCCCCGCAAACATGAGCCCTGATGAACGCGGCGACCAGAGGTATGGGGTCGTGGTGTGAGTGACGACTACTGGCACAGGCAAACGGTGTAAACAAAATAGGAGGTTTATTCTCTCCTTAAAAAGGAAACACCAAACAAATGTTCAGGGGAAAAGGGGCTGGGCGAGACCAAAGCAAAGAAACAAGCAAAAAGGGTGAACACTTCCCTAACTGACCTAATTTCCCCCCCCCTTTACTCTACCTCGGGCACGGATGAGGCCCGCTAACCAAAAGTACAGGGAGTGGTCCGCCCAGGTCTTGCCTAGTGTATCTAGACAGGCAGTCAGCTACGGGTGGTGTATACCCATGGGTCTCTTCCCTAACAATATCCCCTTCCCCCCCCCTGCAACACAGGAAGAAAAATGTTTAACTCAAATAATAAACAGTATACAAAACAAATATAACATACACACTAACCCAAAGAGCCCACGCTCTGGGACTACCTTTTAACAACCAAACTCTCTCTCTCTGAACAAGATACTCACAAACCCCAACGACGGAAAATAAACACAGAACCATGAGAGGACATCAGCGAGCCACCAGAAGCGCTCTGCCATCAGATCTGCAGAACCCTTCTCTTCCCCCCCCAAAGATCTACAATGACAGGTCTTTATAGACCTGCACCAGCTGCATCCAATAATGAAGGGGAGGAGTCCAGGTCGGTCGTATCCAATCGGCTACACCTTGGGTGAAGGGTAGCCATCTTGCCTGCAGATTTCCTGTACCTGGAGAGACAGGACACAAACCAACACAAACACCCCCAAAACGTAACACTGTCTGCAGTTGATGCTCCTCCTCCTCCTGCAACACACAAGCTGTTTCTCATTTAGTGGCCGTGTTCCTCTATTGACTCAGCCTCTGATGTGGACGGGGACCGGGTGCTTCTACGAAAGGAAATGGTCTGGCCTGTGAGGGGACTTCCTGTTTGTGGCGGCAACTTTTCCTGTTGCTGCAGCAAGCTTGACAGTAAAGCTTCATATTAAAAAAAATATATAAAATACAGCCAGATCATATTCTTTACCTCAGGAGCATCATACCTATAGATCAGGCTGAGAGAAGGACACATTCTGGTCATTTTAAATGAAATCCTAATAATCATTTTCATTATATAAAACATAAACTTTACAAATAGTCAATATGTGTGTTTTTGAAACATGGAATGTACCCAGTAATATTAGTAAATTAAGATATCTGCGCAAAATATATGCTTTTCCTGCACGCCCTCTCTGCATGTCTCAGCTGGGCTCGGGCCGTGTCCCAAAGCGGTGGATCCAAAACCTAGTTCATGCTTCTGCGTTTTCAGAGAGACGCAAGGACACTCGCACTCAAGAGCCCTTTGGGCGTCTTTTCACCTCTTCTTGCGTTCTCGCGTGCGTCGACCCATTTTTCTAGACTAGCGTCAAAAGCTACGCAAGACGTCACTCTTTTGGTCGTCTTCAACAAAAACACGTTACTCCACCTGTTGTTCTGGCGGTGAATTGCTCTGCAACACACGCAAGACTTTAGAACCATGAATTGAAACGAGTGTGTCGACACGACTCTGTGTAAAGACGCAGAAGCAGAAGCATGCGCCAGCCTTTAGAAGCAGTTTAGCCAATCACTGATTAAAGTCAATGAGTGACACATCATTTCAGAGTCCTAAAATCCATTGAGTTGTGGGCAGAGCTCTTCACCGCCCCACGCGAGTCTCACACCAGTTAAAACAAGAGTGACCACGAGCAGTGTCCTTCCAAGAAGACCTGACCCGAACTCTGTACCAGAGAAAGGAGAGGTAGATTTTATATAAGTATATTTGTATTGTATTTAATATTATATTTTTATTATATTTATACAATATAGTAGTTATATCATATTGTTTATATATAGTTATATACTGTATATATCCATCATTGTACTAAATTGTTTGAATAAGATGTTAAATACTTAACTGCAAAGTAATAATGAATAATAATAATTGTTTTGCATTGAATCATACTGAGATGTTTACTGAAACTGAATGGCTGACCCTAACCCCCCCAAAAGATCCACCAGCTCTAATGTGACGTCAGCTTTGCTACGGTTTGTTCCTTCTGTGTGTGTGTGTGTGTGTGTGTGTGTGTGTGTGTGTGTGTGGTTGCAATCAGCTGGCATCTGGGCTCCTCATTGGTCCATCATCAAGCCCTCGTCACCGCCAGCTGAATTATCCCGGTTTCCGGTTGTCTCATCGCCCGATCGTCTCTTCACGTCTGTGGCAGATATACTCTCGCCCCGTTAGCCGGTAATCTTGGTACCGTGTAACATAACCTGTGTGATTTTGTCAGTCCAGTGCATCTTCATACCGCATCGCCGCCCAGCCAGCACTTTGTACACTTCCTTGTCACTGCTTCCTCAACTGCATCCATGTACCCATAAAATAAAGCTTTTCTTTCCACCTAACCTGCCGTCTGTCTGCATTTGGGTCATTGGTAAACTGGCCGTGACAAGATCAGGTTCATAATTTGTCTACTTGAACTCACGTTGATCAGTTTCTGTTCATAATAACAAGTATAAACGATCTTTAAAACGGTCACAACCGCAGTAAGACATTGATCAACCTTTTAAAGTGTGAAAGTTAAGGCAGTAAAGTGACTTTTCACTGATAACTACGGTCGGAAGTTAACAACGTAAATAACAACCCAAATCGTGGGCTGGAAGGCTGAATTCTTTGACTGAGTTTGAAGGAGCAAAGGAACGAGACAGCTCGGACACAGACGAAGGGACGCGATCCAACTACAACTGCAATCTCTTGAGGACGCTGCCGCTACACACACACCTACTCGTACTCTCACTGACACTCAGCCGCAAAGCAAACAGTTGTGGAGGGTGAAAAGAGACGAGACAGGAGACGGAGATGCGTTGAGTCAGCTTTACTCTCCACTTCAATAACACAAAACAACACGTGAGAACTACTGCGGACATGCACGTTAACCTCACATCAAAACACTTTCCCTTAAAGGTACAGTCCCCTGGTGAATGTCTCTACAGCGTTACTTGTGGGTCACCACACAGTGTAAGATTATGTCAGTGTGCACAAAACCAGATGCCATTCACATGAAGAAAAAAAACATTTATTCTGAATTTGAAGAAAATAAAAGTACACAATATAAATGTAAAAGGCCGACAATTTGACACTTACAACACAAAAACTAAGTGTGTATGACACAATGAAAGATGAGCATGTTAGCAGATTGAGACGCACCAATTCTAAAACAAAACGTTCTTCTGAGGTCCCAAACTTTACGTTTTCTTTCTGCCCTAAAACGTAAGTCAAGTTTAGAGCAAATAAAAGGCCATGACGAAGTGTTTTACCCACAGTCTTCATCATTGTTGCGTCACCAGCAGTATTCAGGGTGGATGTGTGTAAATCTTAAGCCACCAAAGGCACCTGGACCTGAAGGCATCCTCGGCCGAGCTCTTGTGGCTTGTGCATAACAACTGGCAGATGTGCTCAGTGATATTTATAACATTTGTAATGGTAAAAATATGTTATAACATTGTTTTGTGCTAAAGCCGTGTCTCAAGTGTCCTGTATTTGACCCGGACGTGCAACGAGCAGCATGATACAAAATGTTAGTTTGCAGCTGTGTCCTGAGAAGGGAGGGCGGTCGACTCGATCTCATAGACGCTGCAAAACAAAGGACTTCTGTTCATGGCCTTAGTTCATATCTTATCGGTACGAAAGTTCCGGATCCACGTTTTTACTTCATGTCAAGTAACAATGATTTGCAGCGGCCACTGAGGAGGATCTTGTGTGTGTGTGTGTGTGTGTGTGCTACCCTCAGCTTCACCTGGGTTCTTATCTCAACCTGCTTTGCAGCTTCTCGTAACTGGCACGGAGAATGTTCTTCACATGTGTATAAAAACTCAGCGTTTTTACTGCTCGGAGACGCCATTTCCACAGAGCACTGTGATACGTGCCTGTGTATTTGACCTCCTGCTTGCAAGCAATAAATGGACTTTTTGCAACTTTGATCATTCATCAAGATTGTTTTATCAGACAAATCATTCTCTTCTACAGAGCTTTTATTGAAATATTCCACAACACATTTCACTGTATTCCCCACATTCTCCAAAAAGACCACCATAGTCCCTGTCCCCCAAAAGAGCAAACCCCATTGCCCAAATGACAAACACATCCACAGACGCCAGCAAAGCTCTCAGCATCCACCCAGACCTCCACCTGGACCGGAGGAACACAAATGGCAGAACGCTGTTCATTGAGGACCGCTGGCATCAGCACCATCGTGGCCTCTAAGCTCGTCAGCGGGCTCAGAGACCTGGGACTTTCCTCCGCCCTCTGTGATTGGACCATGAGTGTCCTGACAGGCAGACCCAGGACTGTGCACAATTTGTCTTCAAAGAAGTTTATATAAAACCAAATACCGACTGCTACAAGTGTGAAGCTGTCCGCTGACATGGAATTATGAAAGTATGTCCCAAGCTTTATTTAGCAAATGCAAAATACTTATTTTATCTTTCAACACTCGGCCATATAATATTGATGCAATAGCTCCTGCTGCAGAGATCCTTCAAAGTGGGGATGTAGACTGTCCCTCCCTTTTGTTGGGTGTTATGGTGCTGTAGACTTGGTCTTTGTCCATCATCAATGGGTGGAGTGATTGGTAGACTTCATTAGGACCTGCACCCTTAGGGAACAAGACATGTTTCATTTATGTTAATAAACTTGTCCCAAATTAAGCTGAGTGAAATAAAATGCATTTAATAAAATTTAGTTGACATTGAAAAATAAAACATTGCTGCAACGTGTCAACAAAGCGAACATATGTGAAAGGTGGGACTGTAGGACCGGGGAGCCTCAGCACAGAGCGGGAGGCTTAAACTCAAGGAGAGCCTCTCCATATAAAAGGAGATCCCGAGAGCTGAGCAACTCACGTTTGTTCTCGTTGTCCGGCATGTGCTGAAGTCTGGGTTGCTCTGTTTGTTGCTCGCCAGTACCGTGTGTGTGAGCAAACTACACTAAGCAGGTAGGTTGTACAATTTTAATCTACATCCTGTATACCATGGGGAAATTAATATAATGTTTTATTTCCTATGATAGAATGTCAGACCTGAACCAGACCTGGTGAGCCCATAGTCCTGCCTGCTGGTGCACAGGCGCCTTGGGCCGAGGAGGGAGGAGCTTGGGCTTGCCAGCACAATATGCATTTTGTAATGAGTATGATGGGTACTCGGTGATTAATGGCTGTTTTGTACATTGCAGGCTGAACTGGTGACACTGAGTGGTCAGCAGGGCAGCCACTGCTATTTTTCTCCGACCATAGTTTTAGTTTAGATTATGCTTTAGTGCCTCCATCATGCTCTCTATTTATAGAAATAACAAACTGATATTGTGCCTTTTTGATGACCGTTGCTTCCCCCTTCCCCACTTCTATTGTGTTGTGTCTTTTAACCAGGATCATTAATCGTATTTGTGTGTGTTGGTTTGCAGTGTTGGTTATTTTAGCCTTTAACAGTGTAAAGTGTTTTTATTGTTGGAAGTGTCATTGTTGCCCCCGGTCAATCACTACTGGTATAAATTATTTGGATGTGTTTTTATAAAGTTATTGTTTAAATAAAAGTGATATTGCACTGTACACGCAGAAGCCTCTATCCATCTATGATCTACCTTGTATGGGTTTTTGGCCAGTAAGATAATTGAATTCAGGGTCTCTCCCCTCAAAGAGAGTGGCGTTGTCACGTCTGGATATTATTCCAAAGTATTATTAAGTGTCCATTTGGTCACATATTTGCAAAAATATATTTTAATATGACTTTAAATGGCATTCACGTTAATAGCTGCAGGCTGAAGGATATCAATGAATATAACATGAATAGTGATGCTCCTGAAGCAGTGATCATTCAAAGCTGTGTCATAGATATGTGGACTGCCATTCCATCTGTACTTCTACTCCCTCTATACTTCTGTGGAGGAGTCAATGGAACCATTGGACCGACACACGATCTCAGAGCCCAAAACGTACCTCTTGTGTGTCTCTGTTTGCTGCATCAGCCCCTGACACAACATCTGTAACCATGTAGGACATCATTTGTTAATAATCTGTGGAAACTTGACTGGAGTAGAAACATATTTGCATTGTGTGTTTTAATTTGTAAATCTTACTTAATCGGCGCTTCATCCTCTTGTTCACAAGCTTGAGTGAGACCATCAGTATGATTATTACGACAATAACACCTATAACCAAATATAGAACATAGCCTGGACAAAGACAGAGAAAGAGGAGGATGTGAGAAAAGATCAATCACACTTCATGGTACTTAGCATGTGCTCACATCCTCTTTGCTACTAAGGAATCTTTCAATAATCACAAACTTGCTTTTCACAGGAAATGAGAACACTGATAGTTTTGTTCCATGAACTGCACCATTTCATATTAAGAAGGCAGACATGATGCTGGAAAATGTTAAAATAATATGTTATAATATAAATGGTGCTGGCAGTACTTGTATGTGAGCATGACAAAACTATTGCATCGACAAGTGGTCGTACACATGATAAATGTGTATTTATATGAAAACATGATTTGACACTTTAATCAACAACAAATTGCATGTGTAGTCGATGTACTGTAATATGTTCATGCATGATGTACTCACCAACAGATCCTTGTGCTGGTGCAGCAGGTGGTGTATTGAAGGTGGTGTATGACGTAGACGTATCAGTAATAACATCTGAGCTGTTAGAAGACATCGTGGAGCTCTTTGTGACTGCAAACGAGGACGTGGTAAACACAATGACAGTTTGTGGAGTCATGCTGGGACTGGGGGACGGAGCTGAAAATAACAGACAAGTGAACATACCAACAAATTAGAAAGTTATTACTTTTGGGCAAACAAGGATTTTCTCATTGAGAATATTGAGAGAATAAACTCACCATCAGTGACTTTTAGATTCACCTCTATATATTCGTCAAGTAAGGCATATCTATCCACTCCACAATAGTATGTTTTGGTGTCTGACTTTTGGAGTTTGCTGAAGGTCACGAACAAGGTTTTTCCTTTGTTAAATAACTTTATTCCATTTTAATTTTCAATTTTTCCATATGCTGCTTTAATGATTTTGTGATGGTCCTCCGTGCATGGACTGGAACAAAGGTACTTGACATTCTCTGTTACATCAGCCCAAACGTTCCAGTCTGAGCAGCTGATTGTCACACTTTCACCAACACGACCATTTATGTTCAGAGGGTTTATCTGCACAACACTCAGACCTACAGGCAGAAATAAAGACTTTCATAAATAAAAAAGTTAATGGGTGATTTAACAAAATAAAGGTCAAGTATGTCATTTAAAAACTACAGCATTCATACAAAAGCTTTAAGAGTTACAAACACAGAGAAATCCAAACAAAGTACTGACCTGAAAGAATGCAAAATAACTCCACTCGACTGATTTTCATCTTGTTGAAAAGTGCAGAGAGATGATGAGCTCATCTTATCAGAGAGCTGACAGTCTTTAACTACTTTAATGTAACTTCCACTTTCTCACCCTTTCAAAGACTGAAGCCTCTCCCTTTCCTTTGAACACACACCCACACACCAGTAGACATAACATAGTTAGTTACTAATAATAGTATTATAAAAGGAATGTCAACATACATTTAGTTATGAGATGATAGTTAACTTGTGATAAGTAAACATTAATACAACTAATCATCTAAAAAGACACATTCATCAGGGCTACAAAGAAAAGACAATCTTCGCAACAGAAAAACATGAAGACCAGAAAGTTAAAAGAAATGATGCGTAACACATAAGTAGAAGAGCCTGACGTCACGCCTCCAAAGCAGATTACATTAAGGAGAATAAAGCAACGCTTCGCAGTACAATATGTGCAGTATGTGTGTTGTGTGTAATGAAAGAACTGAGAGCGTTAGAGCGCCGCGCTGCTGATGTTTCACAGAACAAGGAACAATCTTTTAAATATGTACAACAATGGAAACGTATAGCAAGTCTAAACCTGCACCTGGATATGCATTCAAAACTTAGGAATTTGTTGTATGTAAATAAGAGCACATATAAATCAGAAACCCAAAACAAATGTTAAGTTGATTCTGAAATAAAGTACATACTCAACATTATATTTCATATCTAGATACTTTACAGTGTCTTATGTTTTCTGGTGTGTTACTTATTGAAAAAAAACTTTGTTTAAAACATTTAGCACAATGATCAACATTTTACTATTGAATATCATGTAATTACCATCTGTAACTTTAAAATTCACCTTAGTAAATCTCTCTTTCCCGCATATGTTTGCTGCTGATAACGTCTCACTATATCTAAGGGCTTCTACAACACTTAATGTAGGGGGTTGTAAGGTGTTAAATGCAAACCTATCTAGTCACATTGGTTCTTTGTCACAGCTTCCTCATTCCAGTTAAGATGGCAGCACTTCTCTTTCTATTTTTTGACGGCTGTCAAACTAAACAGAAGAGAATGACCTGAACCAAACAAAACCAACTTGACACTTCTCCATTATACTTGATATTGAGTTCTTGATGGCTCTCTTAACTTGTATTTCCTCTTTCTACGTCATTGAACTCCATCATACTTCATTCTGTACCATCTTCATCTACAAAGCCAACAAGACCCCATTGAGACACTTTGTCTTTATCTTTGTCTCCTAGGTAAGACAGTTTGTGTCCTCTACGTGAAAAAGGTTCTTGGAGGCAGTTTGAAGCTTCAATGACTGACGTCGGGCCTCACAACACTTACGGATAATTCAGTCCTCCTTCTTCAACATATTTCACATCTGGTTATAAAATGTCCAAAAATATTTTGGCCATCCATGGAAACAGAGGCGCTTATCTCAACGTCACCTCTCCACTGTCACTGCTCACCTTTTCCATTTCTTCCTGCTCGTCTCTCCTTTCTTCTCTCATCCATAGTGATTAAACAAACCATTCTCACTTCACTGTAATGTGTCTCAACAAGCAAGGAGGACATAAGAGAATATCAACTTTGTCTTTTGGTGGTTCTGATGGCACCCGTCATTCAAATACATCAGTGATATTGCTGGGCAGTGTGTGTTTGTGCAGTAACAAAAATAAATGGATGGAAACCGTTTGTATGGAACGTTTTCAAATTCCATTTCTTGCTCAGAATGGCTTTTTCCTGGTGGAGAAATGTATTGTATCAGGAACAAACACGGAGGCAGCTTGGAGCATCTTTTCACGCTTTTATATCGGCCTGTGAGCAGATTGAGTCTTTGTGACGGATAACATGGAGTGGCGTCCAATCGCATACATTTCTCGAAGACTCTGTTGAAAAGGAGACGTTAGCCTGTTACGACTGTATATATGACCCCACACAGGACAAAGACAATAGGTTCAAGGATTTTAAGAGCGCAAATACTCAGGGGGAGGTGAAACCGAGGCTGAGCTTGGGGTCTCTGGGAAGGGGACGGAGCAGAGGAATCCAGGGGACGCAAGTGAGGATGTCGGCGCGATGTGAGGCAAGCGGTATGACAGGTGAGGAACAGCGGAATCTGCGCAGAGGAACGGAGGTCAGACACAAAGAACCACAGAGACAACCAGTTAGTTAGACCACGCGGCCGGGATACGCAGCAAAGTCACCACATGGAAACAGCCCGGGTCTAAGTACTGCAGGGGTGGAATGTGGATCAGCTGTGTGGGAACGAGCAGGATGGATGTCCACGCATCTTGTAGGTGGGAACAAACAGCACAGAAAGACAGACAGGGGAAAAGGAAGATACAAACACACAGGATGGGTAGAAACGGCAGCTGACCCACAACATAGCCGTCACCCGGGCATGTGAAAGGTTGAGTACACATCTCATAGGCCTATAATTCACAACAGAGACAAACCATACACCAATAATGGCCTTGTTGGGGACAAAAGAATTGAATGATTTACCTCCCAGAGTGCAGCGATTCCAACTCAGACTGCTGAGGTTCACATAAGATAACTTACGTCACAGCTGATCTTTAGGGCTCCTGTGAGACGCCCACTGACCGAAGAAGAGGCACAGCTAGAAGGCAAAGTGCAGATATTTATCAATATGATACGTAAAAACTTCCATCCCAGTGTAAACTTCAACAGATAGCAGAGCACCAACAGCAGGATTCCATCTGCAGCCAGCTGATGTCACAGTGTAAGAGAGGGTGGCCACGGCAAGAAGAGCTGGCCCTGCAACAATACGCTATGGAACACTTTCAATTGACCGCAGCAAAGGGCTGGTGTCCTTAATCCAGTGCCTTTGTAAAACAAACCAAAATAAAATATTTAGAAACACTGTCATGGGTAAAATATTAAAATTACAGAGATAAGGAAGACTGGACTCCAGCGCCCCCGGATGGATGGATGGAAGATGAGGAAGACAACAAGATGTAAGGAAAGAGAATGTTAATCATGCCAGGCAAATAACACTTACCAACGTTACTTGGAGAGACGAGGCAATGAGAAACTCCTCCGATGTTGAGCAGTCGGTCACGATTGACACTCAAATGACTTTTAGGCAATGAACACTTTGAATAATACAAATATTTATAATGTTTACTTTCCAGCCACTGAAACGACAGCGTATGAGATAGGGAGGGTGTCCTGTGCAGCGCACGGTCAGTGGTTTGAATCCTGGCTGCACCCTATCCCAATATGAAATGTCCCTGAGCAAGACACCTAACCCCCAAATACTCCACATAAGTTTATGTCAAACCATGGGCTCTTGCGCTCTTGTGTCTCACACTCCACAAGACCTCCAGGTTGTCCTGGATGCACCTGTGAAGGCCTACAGCATGACGGGGCTGACCATCAACATCAGGTATAAACAGAGGTAGTCGGTCAGTGGAGCACCAACATCCCACCCACTCCACCATCTTCAGCATCTCTCATAAGTACCATTTGCCTTTGGAAGACTCTTTCTTTCTTACAAGAACTTATATCTCCACAGTAAAATCTCTGTATCAAGCGGTCCACATCACCCTCCTCTATAGTTGTGAAGACTGGGTCACTTACAGACGCCATGTGAAATCTCTGGAGCATTTTCACATCCACTGTCTCCAGCGCATGCTAGGAATCACCTGGCGTGACCAAGTGCCACACAGTGAGATCCTCAGAAGAGCAGGTTGTAATAGCATGGAGGCCACCAACGCCCGTTACAACGATGGCTCGGTCACGTTATAAGGATGCCCATCACTTGGCTGCCTCACAAAGTGCTGCATGGCCAGCTGGCCCAAGGCTCTGCTGGAGGGCAGAAGAAGAGCAAAGACCAAATCAAAGCAGCGCTAAAAAAGTGCAAAATCTGACTTGGAGGGCTTGGCTTCTGACCGTAACACCTGGCGTCAGGACGCCAAGACGGAACAAAAGCAGTGGAGGAGGTGAGGACAGCCAGGAAAGAAGGCAAAAAAGATAAATAACCAAGGTTGCCAGTACCACCACTATGACATACAAATGTTCCACCTGCAACAAGATCTGTGAATACACTCCTCCGCTCTCTTCACTGGCTACCGGTGGCTGCCCGCATCCACTTCAAAACATTGGTGCTCACGGATCATGCTGTGAATGGATCGGGTCCAGCTTATATCCAGGACATGGTCAAACCCGACACCCCGACCTGCACTCTCCGCTTTGCATCTGCAAAACTGCTTGTTCCTCCCTCACTGAGAGCAAAACACTCGACTAGATCACGACTCTTTGCTGTCCTTGCTCCTAAATGGTGGAACGAGCTCTCTGATGACACCAGGACCACAGAGAGCCTTCACATCTTTCACCGCAAACTAAAGACACACCTTTTCAGACTCTACCTCGACCAAAAGACTAACAAATTGTAGCGCTTAAGCGGCATTATAAGTACAATTTATATATAGCAAATTGTAACTTGGCTTATTTGATGAAGTTGCACTTTGTTGTTTCTTGTTCTTCTAAGTTTGTATCCTTATGGTTGAAAGCATGTAAGTCGCTTTGGATAAAAGCGTCAGCTAAATGACATTTAATGTAATATAAAAGGAGAAACCGTCACAACAATTCCATATATTATTTTTCATTACACTGATTGCAGTCTAACTGGGTTGCTTTTGAATGAAATTAAATGCGTCCGTTAGTAAGCAAGAGTTACTAATTAGCACTAGCATTAGTTCCGGTCAGCTCCAGTGGTGATTTTTTAAAATCTTAAATAAATATGATCTACTGGCACTGCCTTCGATCGCGATCGACCTATTGGGCACCTCTGGTTTAGTGTCCAGGATCCAATATCGGTTAAGGGAATCAAAGTAAAAAGGACAGGTTGTGTCACGGCTCGTGAGAGGGATCCAAAAGCAAACACCGGAACCAGGTAAAGTATAAACACAAAATGCGTATTTATTGTCTCTCTTTCCAAACGACAACTCAAATACTCAGGCCTTCCGGCAATGCACCGCCGTCGTCGGCGGCGTCCCGTGTCTCCCTCGTGACGTAGGAATGGAAGCCACTGAAGTCTCCGGACCCAGGAAAACGCGTGTCTGGAAAGCTGTACTCGGCAATCCCTCGGCGCCGAACCTCTGAAAGATGTCCCTCTTTAACTGCTCCCTGAAGACTTGCAGCAGCTGCCAGCGATGAGTGCACTCCTCCCAGCTGCCCTGCATCAATCTGATTAGACCACAGAAGAGAGAACAAGAGTCCCACCCGCTACCTCCAGAATTACTGTGGCTCCCCCTTGTGACCCTGTCCCGTATCCCCACAGTACCCCCCCCTCAACGGGCGCCTCCTGGCGGCCGCCCGGGCTTACCCGGATTGTCCCGATAGAACTCCCGGAATAATGTGGAGCCAAAAATCTGCCGGCGGGGCAGCCAAGATCGTTCCTCCGGTCCATACCCCTCCCAGTCCACCAGATATTGAAACCCCCGCCCCCGACGCCGGACGTCCAGTATCCGGGAAACCCTGTGTGCTGGATGCCCCTCGATGACCAGGGGAGCCGGGGGAGCATTGGCCGGAGGGCTGAATTCGCTCTCCCCCACCGGTTTCAACAGCGAGACGTGAAACGTCGGATGTACCTTCAGGGCCGCCGGCAGGGTCAGACGAACCGCCGCGCCGAGTCCCACACCTCCTGAATCCGCCGGAGATGGTCATCGACGGACGGGACTGCCACTGCTGCCTCCTGGATCTGAAACAACGGGGGCTGAAAACCGAAACAGACCATAAATGGCGACATCCCCGTAGCAGAACGTGACAGGGAATTGTGGGCATACTCCACCCACGGCAGGAACTTGCTCCATGACGCCGGATGCCGCGCCGCGATGCACCGCAACGCCGACCCCAGGTCTTGATTTGCCCGCTCAGTCTGTCCGTTGGACTGTGGATGATACCCTGAAGATAAACTGGCCCTTGCCCCCACAGCCCTGCAAAACGCACCCCATACCTTAGACGCGAACTGCGGTCCTCTGTCGGATACAATGTCCATAGGGATCCCGTGAATCCGGAACACATGCAAGACCAACAGCTCGGCGGTCTCCAACGCAGAAGGCAGTTTGGTGAGGGGAACATAATGAACCGCTTTGGAAAAACGGTCCACTATGGTCAGAATGGTTGTGTTCCCGTCGGATGGAGGCAAGCCCGTAACAAAGTCCACCCCGATGTGGGACCACGGCCTGCCCGGGACAGGCAATGGTTGCAGCAGGCCCGCCGAGGCCTGGTGCGAGGCCTTACCTCTGGCACATTCGGGGCACGCCGCCACAAACGCCCTCGTGTCTCGATCCAGTCCCGGCCACCAAAACCGCTGACGAATGAAGAGAGCCGTCCGTCTCGCCCCCGGATGACACGTCAGCTTCGATGAATGGCCCCACTGAAGTACCTGCGATCTGACCGTCCGTGGCACGAACAGGCGGTCCGCTGGTCCCCCCTCTGGCACCGACTCCCCCCGCTGCGCCTCCTGCACCACCGACTCGATCTCCCAAGTTGCCGCACCTACAATACACTCGGACGGAAGTATGGGCGTGGAATCCGGTGATGCCGGCGGCGGGAAGATCCTGGAAAGGGCGTCCGGCTTGCCGTTCTTGCTTCCCGGGCGATAGGACAACGTGAACTGGAAACGGCTGAGGAACAAGGCCCACCGTGCTTGTCGGGAATTCAGCCTCCGAGCTGCCTGGATGTACGCCAGATTCTTGTGATCCGTCCAAATCCAGAAGGGCTGCAGGCTACCCTCCAACCAATGCCGCCATTCCTGTAGCGCGAGGACCACTGCCAGCAGCTCCCGATTCCCGACGTCATAATTCTTCTCCGCCGGACTCAACCGTTTGGAGAAGAAAGCACATGGATGTAACTTCTGCGTTGACGGATCTCGCTGAGACAGAACGGCCCCGACCCCTGCTTCCGACGCATCCACTTCCACCACAAACTGCCGAGCGGAATCAGGGTGCCTAAGAATAGGGGCGCTGGTGAAGAGAGACCTCAATTTACTAAACGCCCCCTGTGCTTCTGGCGTCCAGCAGAAGGATGCCTTGGTGGATGTTAGCGCGGTGAGAGGTGCGGCCACTCTACTGAAGTCCCTCACAAACCGGCGATAAAAATTTGCGAACCCCAGGAACCGCTGTAAGTCCTTCCGCGTGCCCGGGATCGGCCAGTCTGCTACCGCTCGAATCTTATCAGGATCCGGCTCCACCTGCCCCCGCGCAATCACGAACCCGAGGAAACGAACCGACGCCACGTGAAATTCGCACTTCTCGGGTTTAACGTATAGCCTGTTTTCCAAAAGTCGCCGCAGCACCAGTCGCACCTGTTGCTGGTGCTCGGTGAGGGACCGGGAGAAAATCAGGATATCGTCCAGATAAATGAAAGCGAAGCTACTGGTGATATCCCGAAACAGATTATTCATTAATGACTGGAAGACGGCCGGGGCATTTGTCAACCCAAACGGCATGACCCGATACTCGAATTGCCCCATGGGCGTGTTAAAGGCCGTCTTCCATTCATCACCTTCGCGGATACGAACCAAATGATAGGCGTTTCGGAGATCCAGCTTGGTAAAAAACTGCGCCTGAGAGAGAGGTTCGAATGACGGGTCGATTAACGGCAATGGAGTCTTATTCTTTATCGTGATTCGATTCAAGCCCCGATAGTCAATGCACGGACGCAGTGAGTGGTCCTTTTTCTCAACGAAAAAGAACCCCGCGCCTAACGGGGCGGACGAAGGACGGATGAAACCCGCGTCCAGGCACTCCCGAACGTATTTTTCCATTGCTAACCGTTCCGGGCGGGAGATGTTGAAAAGACGGCTAGTGGGCAGCGGAGCCCCCGGGAGCAAGTCTATCGCACAATCGAAAGGTCGGTGCGGTGGCAGAGTACAAGCCTTGTCCTTACTAAACACCTGCGCAAGGTCATGGTAGACTGATGGAACCGTGGATAAGTCTGGAGGAAGTGATGGTACCACTGACGTCGCTGGGGTTCCCCCCGCAGCCCGCAGACACCGGGCATGACACCCCACGCTCCAGCCCGCGATGGCCATAGTTGTCCAATCCACCATGGGGTTATGAAGTTTTAACCACGGGAGACCCAGCACGATCGGACTCGCCGGAGACGGAATAATTAGCAACTGAATGGTTTCTGAATGGTTTCCCGATATACGGAGCGTGAGGGGGCCTGTGCGATGCGTGACCCGGCTGATCAGTCGACCATCTAGCGCGTTAACTGCCCTGGCGCTCTCGAGCGTCTCTAACGGTACTCGCAACCGTGCGGCTAGTCCCTCGTCCATAAAATTAGCATCAGAACCGGAGTCCACGAGGGCGGTGGTCGAGTGATTATGGGAATGAAACAGTAGAATGGCCGGAATGGAAATACGGGATGGGATAGTAGAGGACGCTGCGTTACTCACCAGGAGGTCCTCTCCGCCTGGTGAGGAGCCCCGTTTGGGGAATCCGGACAGTTCCTAGCATAATGTCCCGCGCGTCCGCAATACAAACACAGTCGACGACTAAACCGCCGTTCGCGTTCGGACGGAGTCAACCGAGCCCGCCCCAACTGCATCGGCTCGCCCGCCCCTCCCGAAAACTCCCCCCCCGACCCAACCGGGCTCAAAACCCCCCCCCCCGTGAACTGCGGACGCGACGGCCGCCTCCCCCGCTCGCGTTCACGTTCCTGAATGCGATTATCCATCGTAATTGCCAACGAAATAAGCTGCTCCAAAGTGGTGGTGGCGTCGCGAGAGAGCAGCTCGTCTTTCAGGGTCTCCGACAGGTTCCGCGCAAAAATGGTCCTTAGCGTGTGTTCGTTGGCACCGCTCTCGGCGGCAAGGATCCGGAACGAGATAGCAAAGTCCGCCACTGATTCAGACCCCTGCCGCAGCGACAGCAGCCTATTCAAAGCATCCTGCCCCCGCACCGGGTGGTCGAACACACGTCGCAGTTCCTCAGAAAAACCCGCGAAAGAGCTCAACGCCGAGGACGGACCCCCCCACAACGCGGTCGCCCACTGGGCCGCCCTTCCCCGAAACAAATTCATACAAAAAGCTATCTTGGCTCTGTCGGTGGTATAACTGCGGGGCTGCAGGTCGAACACGAGCTCGCAGTTCAGTAAGAAGCGGCCGCACCCCCCGGCTTCCCCTGCATACGGTTCTGGCAGTGGAACCCGCGGCTCCCGGTCGTTGGTCGGACCCTGGTCCTCCTCTCTCCCTGGAGGATCCGGACCTCCCGATGCCGCAGCCCCCGACGTCCCAGGCCGGTCCATCCGTCGATTCAGCCTCTCCAAGGACTCCATCATCAGCACCAGCATCTGCTCGTGCCTCCCCACCATCGCTCCCTGGGCGCTGAGAGCCTCCTGCACGGATGCCGGGTTTGCTGGATCCATGTTGTATGGCCGAGGGATTCTGTCACGGCTCGTGAGAGGGATCCAAAAGCAAACACCGGAACCAGGTAAAGTATAAACACAAAATGCGTATTTATTGTCTCTCTTCCCAAACGACAACTCAAATACTCAGGCCTTCCGGCAATGCACCGCCGTCGTCGGCGGCGTCCCGTGTCTCCCTCGTGACGTAGGAATGGAAGCCACTGAAGTCTCCGGACCCAGGAAAACGCGTGTCTGGAAAGCTGTACTCGGCAATCCCTCGGCGCCGAAGCTCTGAAAGATGTCCCTCTTTAACTGCTCCCTGAAGACTTGCAGCAGCTGCCAGCGATGAGTGCACTCCTCCCAGCTGCCCTGCATCAATCTGATTAGACCACAGAAGAGAGAACAAGAGTCCCACCCGCTACCTCCAGAATTACTGTGGCTCCCCCTTGTGACCCTGTCCCGTATCCCCACAGGTTGGTTTGTAAAAGAAATATTATTTTAAGGACTCATTGATTTATAAATATATCTATAAATATATTTATAGATATATTCTTGCCATTCAGCATCAGTTTATTAGCTGGATACATTTAGATTAATTGTTGCAGGTGGCATCCAGTGTGATTTTACCATAGCAAACAGTAAAGCTCATTGAACCTGGACCTGGGCTGGTCCAAAATAGGATGCAGCTATGCAGCCTCTTGTGTCCCTGGTTTAGCTTCACTTCCTGCCCTGTCAATCCCGATGAGTTCTGCTTCTGTTAACCCCAACGTGACAGGATGGATCTAACACAGGTTAATCATTGTTTGGCACAGAAGCTTTTGTGACAAACTATTTATTTATTTACATGGTTTTATCAAGATGCCAACTTTTCCAACTCTTATTTTCCAGATTTTGCCAGGGGGAGGTTAAATACTTAATATTGACCCCTTTAAAAAGGTAGATGAAAACGCAATTTAGTTCTTGGAATTCACCTCAGACTATATCTTTGTGTGCATAAAGCATTCACAGGAAGTGAACGTTTTCGCTCGGATGTCACCAAACAGTTTTTGAAGCTTCTGCATTTTTGATGAAGCAATCTTGTTTCCTTTTTGCAAAAAAAAAAAGAACCAATAGACTGTTGACCTCACAATGAGCACCAAAACATGACAGTGGGTAACAGTAAAAAACTAAGATCAAATCTCAGGTTTATTAGGACAATAATTAGGCAATAAGGTGTAACGAGAGGGTGTACATTATCTCCTGCGCGTCGGGCATAATAACACCCCCCATGACTGACACTCAACCAATCAGAACACTGGATTTCATAATATTCAAAATATTTATAAAAGGGCTAAACATGTAGGAGGTAAATTTAGACACTTTAAATCATCTGATATTAAAAAGCAAAAGGGCTGCAATATAAATAATAAAAGATCCATATTTAAATGTCCTGTTGAGATACTATACAACAGTCTTTGGCTCCATAAGGTGGTTTTGACAAAGTCTTCAGATTGTTCAGATGCAGAAGAAGCAGCATCAATTAAATACTTGATGAATCATGGTAGCAAAGGCTGATTTAATTGTGTATATATTTGAGTGTTACACATCTAACAGCAAGTTTACACTATACTACATTTGCTGTTCTTGCCAGAGATTTAAATTCTGAATGACAATAATAAATATACTAATATTTCAAGGTCAGAAATGTCTTTAAATATTTTTCTCGTGTTGCAATACAGACTTGATCTGCGGACGGTGGTGGTGGTGCTTGGAGTAGAGTGGGTGAGCCAGGAACCACAAGGTTGGTGGTTTGAAACCCTTATAGCTCCATGTCCCATGTCAAAGTGTCCCAGAGCAAGACACCCATCCCCTAATTGCTCCCCAGGCAAAATGTAAAAAACAAAACAAGCCACGGGTTTAAAAATGCAATGTAAGTCGCTTTGGATAATAGCGTCAGCTAAATTACATGTAATGTACATTTTATGGACAAGATTTCACTCTTTAACTGCCTTTGACTAAGTAATGAAGTTACAACGCAGACAATAGTAATTAGACTTATTGACAGGATAGATGGAAGTGACATTGTGTGGATATCAATATAATTTAATTAATTCTTTCCTTTTTTGTCTATTTTTACTTATTTCCATAAAAAAAAAAAGGTCTACTCTAGAAAGCTAATTTTTGGGCATTTTTCTTGTTGCCTGTGGTCGCTGAGCCAGGGAGTAGAGAGAGTTCTCTTTGGCGCTCTCAGGTTGATTTCTTTTACATTGCACAGAGGGATTCATTTGCTCTTTGGGATGTTGAACAACAGAGTACACAGAGTCAAATGTGCCCGCGCTCTTTCTACACGCCCCCCTTGAATTGTCCATGAAGATGGCAGCTTGATTTAAATAAAGAGTGTCTGAATATCCATCACGCCTCTCAACTGGTAAATCCTTGACTTGGTGGTAGGAATAATTAGAATAGAGAGCATCTGGGTCGGTTTGGTCTACAAGTCTTATTTCTTCGTATCCAGCGTCCTTCAAATAGAAAAGAGACAGAAAATACTGTTAATTTAACTTAAACAAAACAAGGTGGCAAGCACATCCAAAGCTTAACAGTCAATAATATTTCAAAGAAAAAGAAAAATACATATGTTTTGTTAAAATCAAATCAAATGAAAGCAAAATAGACTGATCTTTACGAATGAGTGTTTTTTTAAGCGTTCACTTAATGCAGACAGAAAAACAATTATCAACAGTGTTACGTGATGAGAATAGACCAGGGCCCCGTTCCTAAACTCCATCAAATGTCCTGTTAGTCAGAATTAATTAACCAGGTGATTGAAGTCAGGCTGTCCAGGTTCCTCAAAGGCTCAAAAAGTCTCGTTAATTCCAACCAGACTTCAGTTATCAGGATCATTTTGCGTGCATGCAGTGTGTGACACAGTGAATGCTCGGCTGTGTGGTGTTCACCACGTACGGCTCCAGAAGGTCTTTAAATAAATGATTCCTGTCGGTAGCGCTCGTATAGGAACTTATCGTGATCTTGAAGAAATCTCTCCGTATAAAACGTGAATCTAACTAATTAGATTAGATCCTTCATCAAAGAGCAACGGGGCCCTAGTGGTTAGTGGGGTTAGGTGAGAAATGTTTGTCTTTGGCTCCTACATGAACCATAAAAGGTGAAGAATAAGCGTCTAGACGAACATATTGTTTCAAGAAGCAGCTTCTGTCTTCCTGCTTCTGCAGAGGAACATTATAGTGTTTAAAATGTTTAATTATCAGCATTGTAAAATGATCCTAAATGGCATTGAAGTTAGAAATGAGAAGAGAATGTCAGAGCTGCGAGAGAAATGCGTGAGACTCACACAAGCTGAGGGAACAAGTGAGGAAAACTTCAAGCAAGATGTTTCTGTGAAAGAGTCAATAGAAACTGATTTGAGCCCAAAACTGACCTGTTGTGTTTCTCTGTTTGCTGTAACAGCACCTGACACAACTTCTGTGAACATAAAGGACATCATTTGTTAATTTGTCTGGTGGAAGCTTGACTGAAGTAGCCACATATCTGCAAGGTGTATTTTAATTTAATATTAATGTGAATCTTACTCGATTGTTGTTTCATCATCTTGTTCACAAGCTTGAGTGAGACGATCAGTATGATTATTACGACAATAACACCTATAACCAAATATAGAACATAGCCTGGACAAAGACAGAGAAAGAGGACGGATGTGAGAAATGATCATTCACACTTCATGGTACTTAGCATGTGCTCATCTCCTCTTTGTTACTAAGGAATCTTTTAATAATCACAAACTTGCTTTTCACAGGAAATGAGAACACAGATATTTTTGTTCCATGAACTGCACCATTTTATATTAAGGAGGCAGACATGATGCTGGAACATCTTATAATTTATGAATAAAGTGGTGCTGGCAGTACTTGTGTATGTGAGCACGGCAAAACTATTGCATTGACAGGTTTGTGTGTATTGATAAGATATGCAACTAAAATCAACATCAAATTGCGTGTGGTCGATGTACTGTAACATGTTCATGCATGATGTACTCACTAACAGATCCTTGTGCTGGTGCAGCAGGTGGTGTATTGAGGGTGGTGTATGATGTAGACGTATCAGTAATAACATCTGAGCTGTTAGAAGACATCGTGGAGCTCTTTGTAAATGAGGAGGTGGGAACAACAATGACAGTTTGTGGAGTCATGCTGGGACTGGGGGACGGAGCTGAAAATAACAGACAAGTGAACATACCAACAATTAAGAAAGTTATTACTTTTGGGCAAACAAGGATTTTCTCATTGAGAATATTTAGAGAATAAACTCACCATCAGTGACTTTTAGATTCACCTCTATATATGCGTCAGCGCCAAATCTCTCCACTCTACAATAGTATGTTTTGGAGTCTGACTTTTGGAGATTGCTGAAGGCCACGAACAAGGTTTTTCCTTGGTTATATAACTTTATTCCATTTTTATTTTCAATTTTTTCATATGCTGCTTTGATGATGATGTGATGATCCTCCGTGCATGGACTGTAACAAAAGTACTTGACATTCTCTGTTACATCAGTCCAAACGTTCCAGTCTGAGCAGCTGATTGTCACACTTTCACCAACATGACCATTTATGTTCAGAGGCTTCATCTGCACAACACTCAGACCTACAAGCAGAAATAAAGGAGACATTTTGCCTTCGTCATAGTTCACATGTACATTTCCTTTGACGTTAGATTTTACTATTCATGACGGCAAATTTGAAAAATAAAAGAAACCCCTGATTGATTTATACATGTTTCAATCAACAGCTACATCTTTTGTACGCAAGCTACAGTTTGTGTAAATGCAGAAAAGACAGAAAGAAAAAAACTAACTCACCAGAAAGAAGACAAAAGTAAACATAGATTTTCATCATCGTGAAAGTGAGAGAGTGAGTGAACGAGTGTGTAGGAATCATCAGGTCAGTCAACACCGTCTTCACGTCCCTCCTTCACTTCCTCTTACTGTCTCCAGTTGATGCTCCTCCTCCTCCTGCAACACACAAGCTGTTTCTCATTTAGTGGCCGTGTTCCTCTATTGACTCAGCCTCTGACGTGGACGGGGGGCCGGGTGCTTCTACGAAAGGAAATGGTCTGGCCTGTGAGGGGACTTCCTGTTTGTGGCGGCAACTTTTCCTGTTGCTGCAGCAAGCTTGACAGTAAAGCTTTATATTTGAAAAAATATATAAAATACAGCCAGATCATAATCTTTACCTCAGGAGCATCATACCTATAGATCAGGCTGAGAGAAGGACACATTCTGGTAATTTTGAATGAAATCCTAATAATCATTTTCATTATATAAAACATAAACTTTACAAATAGTCAATATGTGTGTTTTTGAAACATGGAATGTACCCAGTAATATTAGTAAATGAAGATATCTGCGCAAAATATATGCTTTTCCTGCACGCCCTCTCTGCATGTCTCAGCTGGGCTCGGGCCGTGTCCCAAAGCGGTGGATCCAAAACCTAGTTCATGCTTCTGCGTTTTCAGAGAGACGCAAGGAGACTCGCACTCAAGAGCCCTTTGGGCGTCTTTTCACCTCTTCTTGCGTTCTCGCGTGCGTCGACCCATTTTTCTAGACTAGCGTCAAAAGCTACGCAAGACGTCACTCTTTTGGTTGTCTTCAACAAAAACACGTTACTCCACCTGTTGTTCTGGCGGTGAATTGCTCTGCAACACACGCAAGACTTTAGAACCATGAATTGAAACGAGTGCGTTGACACGACTCTGTGTAAAGACGCAGAAGCAGAAGCATGCGCCAGCCTTTAGAAGCAGTTTAGCCAATCACTGATTAAAGTCAATGAGTGACACATCCTTTCAGAGTCCTAAAATCCATTGAGTTGTGGGCAGAGCTCTTCACCGCCCCACGCGAGTCTCACACCAGTTAAAACAAGAGTGACCACGAGCAGTGTCCTTCCAAGAAGACCTGACCCGAACTCTGTACCAGAGAAAGGAGAGGTAGATTTTATATAAGTATATTTGTATTGTATTTAATATTATATTTTTATTATATTTATACAATATAGTAGTTATATCATATTGTTTATATATAGTTATATACTGTATATATCCATCAATGTACTAAATTGTTTGAATAAGATGTTAAATACTTAACTGCAAAGTAATAATGAATAATAATAATAATAATTGTTTTGCATTGAATCATACTGAGATGTTTACTGAAACTGAATGGCTGACCCTAACCCCCCCAAAAGACCCACCAGCTCTAATATGACATCAGCTTTGCTACGGTTTGTTCCTTCTGTGTGTGTGTGTGTGTGTGTGTGTGTGTGTGTGGTTGCAATCAGCTGGCATCTGGGCTCCTCATTGGTCCATCATCAAGCCCTCGTCACCGCCAGCTGAATTATCCCGGTTTCCGGTTGTCTCATCGCCCGATCGTCTCTTCACGTCTGTGGCAGATATACTCTCGCCCCGTTAGCCGGTAATCTTGGTACCGTGTAACATAACCTGTGTGATTTTGTCAGTCCAGTGCATCTTCATACCGCATCGCCGCCCAGCCAGCACTTTGTACACTTCCTTGTCACTGCTTCCTCAACTGCATCCATGTACCCATAAAATAAAGCTTTTCTTTCCACCTAACCTGCCGTCTGTCTGCATTTGGGTCATTGGTAAACTGGCCGTGACAAGATCAGGTTCATAATTTGTCTACTTGAACTCACGTTGATCAGTTTCTGTTCATAATAACAAGTATAAACGATCTTTAAAACGGTCACAACCGCAGTAAGACATTGATCAACCTTTTAAAGTGTGAAAGTTAAGGCAGTAAAGTGACTTTTCACTGATAACTACGGTCGGAAGTTAACAACGCAGCTGCTCCCCTGCTGCCGGCCCACCTCATATTGTCGTAAATAAAACTAAATCTTCAGTGGTTTACTGTGCATGATGGGGAATGCTGCACCGCAAGAGATACATCCGATTTGTCCTCCAAATCGTGGGCTGGAAGGCTGAATTCTTTGACTCAGTTTGAAGGAGCAAAGGAACGAGACAGCTCGGACACAGACGAAGGGACGCGATCCAACTACAACTGCAATCTCTTGAGGACGCTGCCGCTACACACACACCTACTCGTACTCTCACTGACGCTCAGCCGCAAAGCAAACAGTTGTGGAGGGTGAAAAGAGACGAGACAGGAGACGGAGATGCGTTGAGTCAGCTTTACTCTCCACTTCAATAACACAAAACAACACGTGAGAACTACTGCGGACATGCACGTTAACCTCACATCAAAACACTTTCCCTTAAAGGTACAGTCCCCTGGTGAATGTCTCTCCAACACAGTGTAAGATTATGTCAGTGTGCACAAAACCAGATGCCATTCACATACAGAAAAAAAACATTTATTCTGAATTTGAAGAAAAGAAAAGTAAACAATCTAAATGTAAAAGGCCAACAATTTGACACTTACAACACAAAAACTAAGTGTGTATGACACAATGAAAGATGAGCATGTTACCAGATTGAGACGCACCAATTAAAAAAAAAACGTTCTTCTGAGGTCCCAAACTTTACGTTTTCTTTCTGCCCTAAAACGTAAGTCAAGTTTAGAGCAAATAAAAGGCCACGACGAAGTGTTTTACCCACAGTCTTCATCTTTGTTGCGTCACCAGCAGTATTCAGGGTGGATGTGTGTAAATCTTAAGCCACCAAAGGCACCTGGACCTGAAGGCATCCTCGGCCGAGCTCTTGTGGCTTGTGCATAACAACTGGCAGATGTGCTCAGTGATATTTATAACATTTGTAATGGTAAAAATATGTTATAACATTGTTTTGTGCTAAAGCCGTGTCTCAAGTGTCCTGTATTTGACCCGGACGTGCAAAGAGCAGCATGATACAAAATGTTAGTTTGCAGCTGTGTCCTGAGAAGGGAGGGCGGTCGACTCGATCTCATAGAAGCTTCAAAACATTCATCAAGACTCTGTTTTATCAGACAAATCATTCTCTTCTACCGAGCTTTTATTGAAATATTCCACAAAACATTTCACTGTATTCCCCCACATTCTCCAAAAAGACCACCATAGTCCCTGTCCCCCAAAAGAGCAAACCCCACTGCCCGAATGACAAACACATCCACAGACGCCAGCAAAGCTCTCAGCATCCACCCAAACCTCCACCTGGACCGGAGGAACACAAATGGCAGAACGCTGTTCATTGAGGACCGCTGGCATCAGCACCATCGTGGCCTATAAGCTCGTCAGTGGGCTCAGAGACCTGGGACTTTCCTCCGCCCTCTGTGATTGGACCATGAGTGTCCTGACAGGCAAACCCAGGACTGTGCACAATTTGTCTTCAAAGAAGTTTATATGAAACCAAATACCGACTAGTACAAGTGTGAAGCTGTCCGCTGACATGGAATTATGAAAGTATGTCCCAAGCTTTATTTAGCAAATGCAAAATACTTATTTTATCTTTCAACACTCAGGCATTTAATATTGATGCAATAGCTGCTGCTGCAGAGATCCTTCAAAGTGAGGACGTAGACGGTCCCTCCCTTTTGTTGGGTGTTATGGTGCTGTAGACTTGGTCTTTGTCCATCATCAATGGGTGGAGTGATTGGTAGACTTCATAAGGACCTGCACCCTTAGGGAACAAGACATGTTTCATTTATGTTAATAAATTTGTCCCAAATTAAGCTGAGTGAAATAAAATGCATTTAATAAAATGTAGTTGACATTGAAAAGTAAAACATTGCAGCAACGTGTCAACAAATCAAACATATGTGAAAGGTGGGACCGTAGGACCGGGGAGCCTCAGCACAGAGCGGGAGGCTTAAACTCCATATAAGCCTCTCCATATAAAAGGAGATCCCGAGAGTTGAGCAACTCACGTTTGTTCTCGTTGTTCGGCATGTGCTGAAATCTGAGTTGTTCTGTTTGTTGCTCGCCAGTACCGTGTGTGTGAGCAAACTATACTAAGCAGGTAGGTTGTACAATTTTAATCTACATCCTGTATACCATGGGGAAATTAATATAATGTTTTATTTCCTAAGATAGAATGTCAGACCTGAACCAGACCTGCTGGTGCACAGGTGCCTTGGGCCGAGGAGGGAGGAGGTTGGGCTTGCCAGCACAATATGCATTTTGTAATGAGTATGATGGGTACTCGATGATTAGTGGCTGTTTTGTACATTGCAGGCTGAACTGGTGACACTGAGTGGTCAGCAGGGCAGCCACTGCTCTTTTTCTCCGACCATAGTTTTAGTTTAGATTATGCTCTAGTGCCTCCATCTTGCTCTCTATTTATAGAAATAACAAACTGATATTGTGCCCTTTTGATGACCATTGCTTCCCCCTTCCCCACTTCTACTGTGTTGTGTCTTCTAACCAGGATCATTAATCGTATTTGTGTGTGTTGGTTATTTTATTCTTTAACAGTGTATGCAGTGTTTTATTGTTGGAAGTGTCATTGTTGCCCCCGGTCTAACACTACTGGTATAAATTATTTGGATGTGTTTTTATAAAGTTATTGTTTAAATAAAAGTGATATTGCACTGTACACACAGAGGCCTCTGTCCGTCTATGATCTACCTTGTATGGGTTTTTGGCCAGTAAGATAATTGAATTCAGGGTCTCTCCCCTCAAAGAGAGTGGCGTTGTCACGTCTGGATATTATTCCAAAGTATTATTAAGTGTCCATTTGGTCACATATTTGCAAAAATATATTTTAATATGACTTTAAATGGCATTCACGTTAATAGCTGCAGGCTGAAGGATATAAATAAATATAACATAAATAGTGATGCTCCTGAAGCAGTGATCATTCAAAGCTGTGTCATAGATATGTGGACTGCCATTCCATCTGTACTTCTACTCCCTCTATACTTCTGTGGAGGAGTCAATGGAACCATTGGACCGACACACGATCTCAGAGCCAAAAACGTACCTCTTGTGCGTCTCTGTTTGCTGCATCAGCCCCTGACACAACATCTGTAACCATGTAGGACATCATTTGTTAATACATCTGTGAAAACTTGACTGGAGTAGAAACATATTTGCATTGTGTGTTTTAATTTGTAAATCTTACTTAATCGGCGCTTCATCCTCTTGTTCACAAGCTTGAGTGAGACCATCAGTATGATTATTACGACAACACCTATAACCAAATATAGAACATAGCCTGGACAAAGACAGAGAAAGAGGAGGATGTGAGAAAAGATCAATCACACTTCATGGTACTTAGCATGTACTTACATCCTCTTTGCTACTAATGAATCTTTCAATAATCACAAACTTGCTTTTCACAGGAAATGAGAACACTGATATTTGTGTTCCATGAACTGCACCATTTTATATTAAGGAGGCAGTTATGATGCTGGAAAATGTTAGAAATAGAATATGTTGTAATATAAATGGTGCTGGCAGTACTTGTATGTGAGCATGACAAAACTATTGCATCGACAAGTGGTCGTACACATGATAAATGTGTATTTATATGAAAACATGATTTGACACTTTAATCAACATCAAATTGCATGTGTAGTCGATGTACTGTAATATGTTCATGCATGATGTACTCACTAACAGATCCTTGTGCTGGTGCAGCAGGTGGTGTATTGAAGGTGGTGTATGACGTAGACGTATCAGTAATAACATCTGAGCTGTTAGAAAACATCGTGGAGCTCTTTGTAAATGAGGAGGTGGGAACAACAATGACAGTTTGTGGAGTCATGCTGGGACTGGGGGACGGAGCTGAAAATAACAGACAAGTGAACATACCAACAATTAAGAAAGTTATTACTTTTGGGCAAACAAGGATTTTCTCAATGAGAATATTTAGAGAATAAACTCACCATCAGTGACTTTTAGATTCACCTCTATATATGCGTCAAAGCCAAATCTCTCCACTCCACAATAGTATGTTTTGGAATCTGACTTTTGGAGATTGCTGAAGGTCACGAACAAGGTTTTGTCTTCGTTATATAACTTTATTCCATTTTGATTTTTAAATTTTCCATATGCTACTTTGATGATGATGTGATGATCCTCCGTGCATGGACTGTAACAAAAGTACTTGACATTCTCTGTTACATCAGTCCAAACGTTCCAGTCTGAGCAGCTGATTTTCACACTTTCACCAACACGACCATTTATGTTCAGAGGCTTCATCTGCACAACACTCAGACCTACAAGCAGAAATAAAGATTTTCATGAATAAAAAAGTTAATGGGTGATTTAACAAAATAAAGGTCAAGTATGTCATTTAAAAACTACAGCATTCATACGGAAGCTTTAAGAGTTACAAATACAGAGAAATCCAAACAAAGTACTGACCTGAAAGAATGCAAAATAACTCCAGTCGACTGATTTTCATCTTGTTGAAAAGTGCAGAGAGAAAATGAGCTCATCTAATCAGAGAGCTGACAGTCTTTAACTACTTTAATGTAACTTCCACTTTCTCACCTTTTCAAAGACTGAAGCCTCTCCCTTTCCTTTGAACACACACCCACACACCAGTAGACATAACATAGTTAGTTACTAATAATAGTATTATAAAAGGAATGTCAACATACATTTAGTTATGAGATGATAGTTAACTTGTGATAAGTAAACATTAATACAACTAATCATCTAAAAAGACACATTCATCAGGGCTACAAAGAAAAGACAATCTTCGCAGCAGAAAAACATGAAGACCAGAAAGTTAAAAGAAATGATGCGAGAGCCTGACGTCACGCCTCCAAAGCAGATTACATTAAGGAGACTAAAGCAACGCTTCGCAGTACAATATGTTTCACACAACAAGGAAATATCTTTAAAATATGTACAACAATGGAAACGTATAGCAAGTCTAAACCTGCACCTGGATATGCATTCAAAACTTAGGAATTTGTTGTATGTAAATAAGAGCACATCATAAATCAGAAACCCAAAACAAATGTTAAGTTGATTCTGAAATAAAGTACATACTCAACATTATATTTCATATCTAGATACTTTACAGTGTCCTATGTTTTCTGGTATGTTACTTATTGAAAAAAACGTTGTTTAAAACATTTAGCACAAGGATTAACATTTTACTATTGAATATCATGTAATTACCATCTGTAACTTTAAAATTCACCTTAGTAAATCTCTCTTTCCCGCATATGTTTGCTGCTGATAATGTCTCACTATATCTAAGGGCTTCTACAACACTTAATGTAGGGCGTTGTAAGGTGTTAAATGCAAACCTATCTAGTCACATTGGTTCTTTGTCACAGCTTCCTCATTCCAGTTAAGATGGCAGCACTTCTCTTTCTATTTTTTGACGGCTGTCAAACTAAACAGAAGAGAATGACCTGAACCAAACAAAACCAACTTGACAATTCTCCATTATACTTGGCTTTGAGTTCTTGATGGCTCTCTTAACTTGTATTTCCTCTTTCTACGTCATTGAACTCCATCATACTTCATTCTGTACCATCTTCATCTACAAAGCCAACAAGACCCCATTGAGACACTTTGTCTTACCTAGGAGACAAAGGAAAAGACAGTTTGTGTCCTCTACGTGAAAAAGGTTCTTGGAGGCAGTTTGAAGCTTCCATGACTGACGTCGGGCCTCACAACACTTACGGATAACTCCTTCTTCAACATATTTCACATCTGGTTATAAAATGTCCAAAAATATTTTGGCCATCCAGAGGCATTTATCTCAACGTCACCTCTCCACTGTCGCTGCTCCCCTTTTCCATTTCTTCCTGCTCGTCTCTCCTTTCTTCTCTCATCCGTAGTGATTAAACAAACCATTCTCACTTCACTGTAATGTGTCTCAACAAGCAAGGTGGACATGAGAGAATATCAATTTTATATTTTGCTGGTTCTGATGGCACTCGTCATTCAAATACATCAATGATATCAATGGATGGAAACCGTTTGAATGGAACGTTTTCAAATTCCCTTTCTTGCTCAGAATGTTTTTTTCATGGTGGAGAAATGTATTGTATCAGGAACAAACACAGAGGGAGCTTGGAGCATCTTTTTATGCTTTTATATCGGTCTGTTGTGAGCAGATTGGGTCCTTGTGACGGCGTTACAAAGGAGCCAGATGCCGCCATAAAGCATGGTGTGTGGTTGATAGAAAACTAGAGGTGAAGTTGACGTGTGTGTGGTCCTAGCAAGGGAGGGGGAAGTGGGTTAAGGTTCTGCTTTGTTGTTGGCGGGGGTTTAATTCAAATCGCAACATTCTCTTTAGTTCTGTTTTGCAACTGAATTCTCACCTCTTCATGCCACTCCACTTGAACATCTTGTCCTGTCTTCAGGAAAAGCTGTACTGACTCCTTCAGTAATGTCAGAGTGCAGCCGCACTGTGGTTTAAAATACATTTCAATGGATCCACTTGAAATGGATAATTACACCAGTGTACAGTAAAGGAACTTGAACCAAATACAGTGAGTTAGAACACTATAGAACTAATGTAAAATAAAATGAAGACAGCTGTTGAGGACAGAAAAGGTCTGCATGCTGGTATGAATGGAGAAAATATTGCCAGCTCACCCTTTTATAACGCAAACCCATCGATGACAACAGGCTCATGGGTCAGTGGCCGTATTCTAAATGGAAATAACATTAACATATGACCATTTTTAAATAAGGATAAGTATAACTTCCCTGAATGAAGAGAATGTGTTTTCACAAAAACCACAACCATCCCCGAACCTGTTACATATGAAATTATCCAAAGAACACCTTTATGTCTCAGAGGTGTCTCTTGTGATGAGATACAAGCATGACCACGTCTGTGACTTGTACTCCTTTATAGTATTACGGTATAGGAGGGGGAAATATGTGAAATAATGTGGAATTGTTGTAAACCGTAATAGTGAGAAAGAACGAATATGGATTGTGATATTACAATCACGTCACTGAAGAGAGATTCACTTTAAAAACAATATTATTTTATTTTTTGTTTTATTGGTATCGTTATATACATGGCATAATTTGTGCTTTTTTATTATCAAGAATAAAACCATAAGGGAACACATCAGAAAAACAAACTTCAAACCAGGACTGAGTTGTTTTTTTCAGCTGGATATATTGAGTTCTACAAAACCAGGAGAGAAGAGGAGGAAAAATACTGAAAACTAAATAGACAAGTAGATTGATAAATATATAGTTTTTCCAGAGTCCCTTGCAGATGTTCCACTGAGGGTAGTGTGAACGTTCGGACTTTGATGTGCTTTTACCAACAGCAGCAAAGGCACCTGTGTATCACTTTGTTCAACAAAAAAAAAAAAAGACACTATGCCTCAGGGCCTTAATCCAGTCGTATCCACACACACAAAACCAAATCCATCCACAATCTCCTCCAGGGGAATTTCTGCCACACAAATCTTTTCATTTCCAGCCATTGCAAAGGTGGATCGGTTGGCCAGCTCGAGGACATTCCCTCTGATCCCCCCCATCTGTGAAGGATTCAATGTATCAAAAATAACCCCTCAAATGATATTTTGGACCTTCTTGACTTTTCCTGCTTGAAATGAGGCCTATTGTGGGAGCGAAGAGACATTTTTCTTTGAGTTGTAATGGAAAAAAGAACATTAAAGTTGCAGCATGTAATACCGTATCCCCTCCTCCAAAATAATAGGGAGTATCATTACATCTCTATCATTGCAATCTAAATTTACAGAAAGTTGTATTTAAAAACCAAGTACTAACGAACAGCGGGGCGAGAATACGTGGAATTGGAACAACCTGCTAAAACTCTGAGAGACGGTTCAAATAACACGGCTGTCTTATAAATCGCCATCTGTGGCGGCGGTCTGGAGTTAAATGAGCCATCTGTGTATTGGTTGATCCTTGTAACGTATCGTTAAGATAGTAGGTTCCTTGGCCTGAGTCAAGGGAGAAACAGACAAGGGAAACGCTCAGGGTTTAGTTTGTGTCTTTTGGCGGCGTGAGACCGCTCCGTAGAGAGAATGCAGTGGCTCAGGGGTTCAGGGTTTAGTTCGGGGGAAAACCCAGCACCAGGAGACGGGGCCTGCAGGGTCTACATGGCAGCAGCACGGGGGGATCTACTTCTTCATTTGTCGGACTGACGAACGGGAACTACGGTGACTCAACATTTTGCTCACAATACATTGACGTCTTTGAAATGCCGTCAACACTGTAACTTCGTAACATTCTGTCAAAGAAAAGTAGCAGTACCGAGAGGTAAAAATACTGCATTTAAGACGAGCTGAGGAATGAGCAGAAAGGGAGCGGAAAGGTTTCTCAATGTCATGATTGAGAAGGAAGCAGGCTCGACAAGAATAACAGAAAAGGTCATGCAAAACGGGTGAGACTAGTCGGACAGTCATGAAACACAGGAGATGTATAATGATCCGTAACGACACAGAAATTAGTCGCCTGACACTGCCTCTGCCTGCCAGGTGCGGCCCCGTACCATAACACCTACCTGAGCCTCCATCAAACACGCACTCAAATCACTTTCCTCTCCTTAAACCATTTGCTTTGCTGTGTGCCTCTGAAGGAAGACTCCAGAGAGTCCGTGGTGACGGACTGTGAGGGGGAGAAACCCTCCATCTGGTACTGAACATGTTTCTTTACCAGTCCAGTGGAAGAAGCTGCTAAATCTATGTTTTCTGTTCTGTGTTAACCACACCACTGGAAGAAAGTGGATGGGCAGGAATATGATTTATTTACCAGTTCAACGCATTTAGGTGCATAGACAGAAAAATATTACTTGAGCACAGATGAGGGATGAAGGAGAGGAGCAGCAAAATGACTTGTGAGGGGGTTTAAGGGAAAACAACAAAGAAGTACAACGTAAAATAGGCCTGGAATCTGAAAAAAAGGAGAACTAGAATAAAATGAGACTAGTTATTAGTAAATATAAATCATGGAGGGGTACTACATAATGCAAGTTTGAAGCATGATTATTTGCATGAACTGTCCAATGATAAAGTGGTGTCAGAGAGCATATTCATTACCAGACGCGGATTTATGGAGAAGGGTCACAAGTCAAAGTTTTGGGTGGGGGGGAAGGCCTTTCTGGTATAGATTGGTCCGTTAGCTAGCTTAGCTTCCCACTAGACTAAACCATTGTCTTATTTATTTGTTAGTCACCTGCGGGGCTAAACTGAAGTCCACCTGGGTGTCTGTCCTGGCTGGCCCATTTTGCACTCCATCACTCCATCTGTTGATCCTGACAAAAGCATGAGCATATTTTCCAGGACGCTTTGGTCATACACTGAACACACGACTCACTTTCATTGTAAGACAGTTTGCTGTTCTCAGGAAATCATCATGGCAGCAATAGTACATAAGACGGCCAACAGGATCCCCAGAGCGAGACTGTCCACTCATGTCCATGCCAACCGTGGCTTTTTGTTTCCCACCGTCATCCTTCCTCCTGACCGGCATTGACAACATGATCAATCCATATTAACTCGGACAGTGAACTGACAAAAGAGTCTCATCAAGGTCTAGTCCGTCTTCATTCAGTCCTTCAACCGGCATTACCCTCACTCCGAGACACAGTCCATGTTGCTTTGGTCTCTTAGCAAGCATTAGCTTCCTGCCAAGCTGTAATCCATATAATTCGATTTGTTTGACAGACATGAACTTCTCGCCCTGCTACGATCCATGTTAATTCTTGTTTGTTAGCCGGCATTAGGTTCCCACCGAGCCCTGATCCGTGTGGATTCAGTCAGTTGGCGAGCATTAGCTTCAAACTCTAATAGTCCATACGTCCCGAGCGTCCGTTGGCCTCACGCTCTCAGCTCCAGAGACAAAAGTTACTGGTGGTCTGGCAGGTGGAGCCCTTCTCGGCCGGGGACAGGTAGAGTTTTCCGTTTGCGCAGGCACAAAGCTCGTACACAGTCTGTTTGGTGTAGGTGGTGCCTGCTGGCGCCCCCTCCAGGGGGTCCACGGCACTGCCGAGGGGAATGCGGCCGAGCTTGATGCTGTTGGCATCTAGAAAGATCTGTGGAAATAAAATGAAAATGTTTAAATGTTCAGATTTTACAGCAATGGTTGGCAAATACAATAAAGGACAAATAAAACATATGGAACATGAAAATTATGTTTTGTATGTGGATGTTACTGCCGTTAGTTCACATGGACTGTCGTGGTGTCTAAAACACACAAGACAGGAGACAGAAGGGGAAAAAGTTATTTATTCAGAAAAATCTAAAAATAAACTGGGGAAAACACATTGACGTAGAAAAAGAATGTATTCTCTGGGGTTGTCATCAAGTAAGACCTATGGAGACAGAGAGGGAATTCCTATTTCAAACAAGGTCCTTTTGATGAAAAGGCAGAGTGGGAGTGAATGAGGCTGAGGACAAGAAAGGTGAAGAGAACTCTGTGGGCGAGGAGTGAAAAAAAAAAGCGTTCAGTCTATTTTAAATTAAAGATAAACAGCAAATTTATCTTGTTTTTAAAAAGGTGCACATTCCTAGAACCATGTGTTGCATCTTAGTACCCAAATTTAACATGACAGATTGCAAACATGGGGTTAATAGTATTCCGGCCTCCATCTTTCCTGACTCGTCCCTTTCCTTGTGTTCCTGCAAAGCGTCGCTCTCTTGCTTTCCATCTCTATCTCACACACGCACCCTGGTTAAGTAATAACCTCAGCAGACATCGGTATCCCCGTTGTTCCTGTTCCTCATTTCAGAAATGAGGAGCAGGGAAGTGAAAATGTGTGTGGAAAAATAGCCATGAGTCCAGAAAGACGGAGGGAGAAGATGAAAGATGTCACATCAGAAGAAGTTGGCCACAAAGAGAGTGAGATGAGATGGAAGGAACCAAATTATTATAACTAATGATTTCACATTTACTGATGGGGCTCATCTTCATCCGTATAAACAACACGCACAACACTATATAGAACAAACACACACAGTATATATAGATAACTTAAAGATGGTGTCATACTTAATTGCCCCCGAGTGTTATTGTGTATCCAGACCTCGTTCAATTCCCATTTCCTGTCCTTCAGTGTATTAAGTGTATGAGTTGTAAGACATTAAGTAAATTAATTCGTTCGAATTGAGTAATCAAGTTTTGATGATCAAGAAAAGGGCGCGGGATTAAAGATGCGCTAATCTTGTCTAAAATGATTCACTAAATATGCTCCCTAGATGGGTAACGTAACCAAGCAGATCACGCAGGATTGAAACCACCTAACCTCTCCTTAGGGAAATTAATCCTATTCACAGCTTATTTTGTCCTAAAGGCACATCACCGTGTTTGATTATAAGCACAACAGCCTAATTGGTACAATTACCAATGACAATACGACCCATATTGGGAAATTCTTTTTTGTATATGCTGTAACCTTTTCTTATTATAATTAATGGTCCCCCCCCAGACAACAAAAAACATGTAAAGATAACCCTTTAGTTCTAAAGGCGATAATTAGAATTATCCTGGAGAAGTCCTCTAACAACTGTAAATGCCACAAACCTCATGCGCTCCGCATACAATCACCAATGTCCGTTTCCTTGCATTACATCACATGTTTTGGTTACAGGCACCAAACAGCATAAGACGCCACGCAGACTGTCTGCTACCCGTCCACACCGGTGCTCATTAGCAGGCACCTACCTCAATGCATTGTTATGGTAAAGTGCCACTCTGTGTTCATGTGTAGGAACTGCATGTCCCAATTCACCCAGTGTTTCCCTCAACATAAACAAAACCACCAAAACTTGCATTATGCCTCCAACAGGTTTTGTTTTAATTCTGAGATTATTGAAAAGAAAAGACTGGCATTTTACTGTGTGTAGTTTCATAAACCTGCCAAGCCCATTTGCTTTGATAAGAACATATCTTACATGTGTGTGCTTGTATCCCAATGTGCTGGTCAAAAGGAAAATACCACTACCTATTTCTTGAAGTCAAGGTAAAAGCTGCCAGGGTTCGTAGCCTTACACGGAATAGGACTCAGTCGCCGTTGTCAACATGACCCTAATCTCATTCGAACGGTCTTCTTGCCATAACACTGAAAACCTATAATGAACATAGGCAGGGAGCATGAAGACAGATGGGTGCATACTTATGTGAGGAAAGGCCAATGATGAGTCAGTGAAATAAATAATAACGTTCATTCTGGGGCAAACAGACTGTTTTTCACTTAATAAGAAAATACGGAGATATCTTTTTTATAGGATTTCAATTCTTATATTGTATGAGTTTTTCAACCTGGAATGATATGTTTGAACAGATAGTGTGAAAGCCACACAGGCCTTTTGCAGAATAGCCTCTTTGGCCACAAAAATGGCACACCCATGATAAAAGGTATAATAACTAATTTGTCCATTTGTACAATTGTACAATTTATTGTTGTGGGGGTAAAGGGGAACCCTTGCAAGGGGTATAATGTGTGACAATCATGTTATTGTTGAAAAAATATATCAATATTATAGTACTAGTTTGGGCCCCAATTGGGATCTGCTAGTCTCCAAAGGTTAACAAAAAACATGCATTCACCGTATATTCAGGAAATGATACATGCAATGTTCAAAATCATTACAGCACCGTATCATAAAAAAACAATACAAGCTCTGGCCTCACAAATGATCATAGCGTTTAAATCTCAATGCCATCGTCCCAAAACACGCCACATAGGGCATTGGAGGTGCTCATATTCCTGCTTACACATATCTTTAGACGTGTCTGTGCCTTTGTCCCTCATGCATTTGCATCCACTAAACGTCTGAGTGGCTGAATACAGCGTGTGTGTGTGTGTGTGTGTGTGTGTGTGTGTCAGAGCTCATCTCTCTCCGACATCGGTTTAGTGAGCACGCGGGCGGCAAGGAGATGGAAAACATGCGGAAACGCAGATTACGGAGGGTGAAAACATTTTTCATGGATGATTTCCTCTGGCACAGTTGAGGAACAAAAGGGGTCGAAGGCCGCCAGAGATGTGAGGGAAAGCAGCGGGGAAAGGACCCGTTTTTCCTGGAACGAAAGCGTGTGGGAGGAGGGAATAAGACACATGAGGAGACACGAGGGTTCAATGAGGGTTGTGGGGGTCGATGAGAAAGAAGAGGGAATGTGTTCAGAAGGAGACTGAGAGTGGGAGGGATTTTTTTTCATATTAGTAACAACTAACCACAAAACACCAAAATCGTTGTTGTCGTTCCCAAACCACTCGTGTATAAGTTGCACAGCAGCATTGCATGTCTGCTTAAGCTACAGCCATATATCATCGTACGATGATATTGAATGGGCCGCATTCTGAACATACGTTGTTTGTTGGTGCACTGATTTAAGTCACTTGTGTTATTGTATCAATCTTGTTTGGAGGAAGTAGCCAACAATGGACGCCAATAGAAATCATCCACATACACACACACACAGCACAAAGCTGGCGGTACCCTCACGCAGGATATGTCTCCAGTTGCCACACTCCTCCCATCAAAACTTTGCAGACTCAAGGATTTCAGTGGTTTAACATCTACTGACCTGGAACCAATGCGGACTAGAAAGTGTTTGACTGAGCGGGCGGAGGAGTGGAGGAAGAGAGGTGTGACAAACATTGAAAGGACAATAACAGTACAATTTCACTGGCACAAACACACAAGTTCTTTGTCTCTCTTGTTCCGCCTGCACTCACACGTGGAAAACGCACACGCGCTCCAACAACACAAATAGGGGGGAGTGTTGTGAAGCTGTCTGCGCATTACACAGACCATTAGGCCTGTGGGATGGACAGCTGTTGGAACGGCCGCCGACGATGGACTAAATGACCGAGGCTGGAGACGGACTGAGGGTGCAGTGACCCAGATGTAGCAGGGACATAAAGCGCCATCGCCCCGCTAAACTGTTGCACACACGCTGAAACAAACGTACACACAACTGCAGACAGATGCGTACACAGAAACACACACAGGCAGAGAAGCATGTGCCGTGATATTGGGTAACTCAGAAAAAGGAGAGAAAAACATAAAACTCCCACATACAATGAAAGACTGAAGGAGTTACATCAGAGTGAAGGATAACACACACACACACAGAAACACACAAACACATCTATGAAGATTGCCTGGGGCAGTGTGAAGTGGCTGATGAATTTTCCAATGCTAATCACACTTTTTGAAAAACATCCACTTCACGCAGCTATTGGCAGGTGTCTGTTGATCTTTTATCCATCTCTCATGAACACACACACACACAGTAACAGCAGACTCTCACAGGAGGGGAGTTAGAAACAAGTTTTGGATGTAAACAGAAAGACTCCAGAGACAGAGGAGGGGACAGCTGTGCTGGTGTGCCAGGAGAGTGTGTGTGTGTACACATTTATTTATTATTTACATTAGTTTATTCTTGTGCGTCTTAGTATATCGCACTTCTTTTAGTGGTCATTTTGTTTCTTTATATATATATATATGTATATAATATATATATATATATATATATATATATATATAAGGATGCATAAGGTTGAAAAAAAAAAAAATATATATATATATAAAGGATGCATAAGGTTGAAAAAAAAAATATATATATATATATATATAAAGGATGCATAAGGTTGAAAAAAAAAAAAATATATATATATATATATATATATATATATATATATATATATATATATAGCCAGGATTCTAATTCACTCACCATTCAGCCTAACCCTGCAGGTAAAACAACAAACAGCAAGAATAAGGAAATAAATCACATTCCCAGTGTACCTGCCCAATAACACCTCCAGGCTACAGCGTCTTAATAATCCCCAGCATTGTGTCAACAAACGTACAACTCCATGGCAACCTAACTTTGTCAAAACTTTCCATAGTTAACCCGATGTCAACCCGCGCTCATACATAGCTTCCAACCCAATGGGTTTTGAAGGATGCAAAATTCTACCTTAGAGGGCACATATTATTACCTTACACCCTCCTCCCTTACACACATACATCTGCATGTATTACTTTTGTGAAACAGGCCTCTTGTTTAACTCCCAGAACCGAGACGGAAACGTAACCAATAAATCAGCAAATATGCATTTAGGGAGAACACACGTTTTTTTACTGGGGTTGGTTCTGCCAGCAGTAGATTTTGCCACGACTCCGTCCAAGCTTTTACGTAGAAGTCTCTAGACATGCACTGTCATCAGAACGTGACAAAGTCACGCCTGGCCAACATAAATACTCATCGCGGCCTTCCAATGAAACCAAAAACTTCCCCAGTGGTGCCTCACTGCAGGGCATTTAGTATTTGCCGAGTGTGTCTTATTATCTCTCCCTGGAGAGCATCTCAACAAACTGCAAAACAAAACATCCAAATGTAACCATCTTGCACACTAATTGGTGCTCCAGTTTATCCCACTGCAACAACATTTTCTGCATCACTGCATATGTAGCCTTTCTAAGACTATACGTTTATTGAGCTGGAGACTGTTAGATCCGTAACCGCATGAAAAATATCCTGTTTTCTAATAAGGCTTTAATCCAACAGATACTCAGAGCCAGTTGAAATAAGAGTAAACTTTAGTGACTTTGGTCTGAAGAGTGTACGAATGGTCCGACTAATATTCTGGCCTTCTACGCCCCAGAACCGTGACTCGTTGTCTGGTAAAATAAATGGCACGAAAAACGAGGCAACTTCTCCAGCATAAGTGCAGAGACGGAGTGATGCACAAACGCAGCTGACAAGAGCTGTGGGTGTATAAAAGAACATATCATGAGCTGAGTAGAAGAAAGGATACATTGATGAAAGATAAACTCAGACATAATACACAAAGGGATGAGTTGAGTTGAGAGAGGCAGTGAGAGGGTGAACAAACTTGGACAAGATTGAAAGACAACAGAGAGAGAGAAAAGAAGGGAGTTGATCAAAAGGAAAAGCCAGGAGGAGTGCAGGAATCCTGAGAGGATCTGTCAGCTCTCGTTGGCTTTGATTTTAATGGAAGCCAGCGCTCCCCTACCTCTAACCCATTTGGCCCTAATTCCACCGCTGCTTTCCAAACTTTTTAAACTTTAATGGCCCCCTCTTAAGTGCCAGCTGCTGACAACATTGATTTGGCTTTAAGCCTTGCTGTCCTGCACGCCTTTATTTTCTCCTGCAAAATCGACAAACATCTATTTTCTGCCATCCTCCTCCAACTCCTACTCCTCCGATGCTCCTTCTGTCCTGCCTCCATCCGCTCTTCTGTTCGTTTGATGGTGTCAGCGGTAGAGGAAAAGCTTATATGAGAATGTATGAAATGGAACACTTTTTGGATAAGCTGTTATTTTTCGGGGTGTACTGCTCGTACTTATTTTTTCTGCAGTCTGAGACACGGTGCGCTGGTTGATTTAGATGGTTTAAATGCACACTGTTAAATGTTGAAATGGGGGGGGTAACCAACTGGCAATGACTCATACACTATAAATCCATCAAAGTAAATACTGTGTATCCTTCTAATTTGGTGTGTAAAAGTTTGTTTTTATTGCTTGGTGATGGTTAACACAGCTCCCTCTTTTAGCTGTTTAAAACAGTCACCTCAAGCCTTAATGGAACATGACAGTTTGATTGTATTAGTTAATCCCATTAATGGTCCCAAACCGACTGCAGCCTTTCTGAACACATTTTTACATTGTGATGAGGCTTCCTGCCACAGCTGTACCTTAAGGATCAAAGGACATCTTTTACTGAATATCTGGCAAACCGCTGCCTTAGTAAGGCTGACAAGGTCAAGTCCTGCACCACAATCTGTGTTAAACCCTGCTGCATGCTACTGCATGCAATCATCATCTGTCAGGGATGGCAGGAATAGAGAGCCAGAGACGCTGAGAGTCTCACGTACTGACGCTTTTGCCGCCAATTGTTGTTGTTTTGCAACGTGCGCATGAAAGCGTGGCGAGGTTTGTTCAAACAAGCCGCACTGAGGTAAAAGCGCAGACTGCCTGTCGCGGAAACTGAAAATGGCGAATTGCGCTATTCCGTGTCATGCATGTGCATTCACGGGAGGGTCAAGGTGAAAGGGGGAGTTCCCAATAAAGAGAAGCCTGGGGGATGTGCCTTTTTTTTTGGCGGTTTTGTAAATACGACGTAAACTGAAGTATTGCGGCGAGCGCTTTCTGCACGTCAGACGTGGCGCTGATCAACGCTACGTTTGCAAATCTACGTACATGGAGGACCAGAGAGAGAAAGAATGGATCACATAAAGAGACTAAAGAATACATGAAAGTGAGAGAGAAAGAAAGAAATGTCAGAAGAGAGATGAAAATGATAATCTCCCTTTTCCTCCCTCTTTCCTTGTAAGTGAAAGCCTCAGTGATGTATAACCCTGACAGTGGGACGTTAATTAGACAGGCCGGGCTACTTAGAGATTGAGAAAAGAGGAACGGGACGAGGAGTCCTAAAGAATAAAAGAAAGGAATTAAACGAGTCAGGAAAGAAAGTACAAAATAGTGATTTATCAAGAAGGGAGGTAATAGGGGACTCAAGATAATGGTGAGGGACACAGGGGAGGAATCAATAAGTGGCAAAGGGCCTTTTTGCCATGACACTGAAATACAGCAATAACAGACACACATGCTGCAGTGCAGAGTACCGCACGTGACAGACAACAGTCGCTCTCCTTTGCAGTGGCGCCCTTTGCTCTTGGCTCAAGGACACACTCCAACATGTCACTGCTAAGCAGGTGGTTGCATGTCTGTTCTGCATCGGGGGGAGTGCAGGACAGACACCAAGAGAACGGGATAGAAACCTGCTCCATCGTAATTTGCCTTTTTAAATAATAGCTTCATTAGCTTATGTTGTTTCGGGGTTACAGTGACCAGGAGTCCCAGCATGCACCTGGTTAGAGGGAGGTCACCGCTCTACTGTATCACGCAGCTTACACGGATAGAACAAACATTTACACCTTCACATGAATGTCTGAGGGAACCGGGGCGACCCGGGGAAACCCACGCCAGAATGATTGACCCAAAATACCAAAAGAGCCTCTCAAATACTTTATGGTTTTGTCCATTTTTAAAATGTTCCCCAGTACAAGTTCTCCCTCAAAGTGATTATTTCCTTTTTCATTACCCATTTGACGGTCTTAAGTTATGTTGTCGAGTTGGAGTTATGCTGACCTCCTTTAACACAGGCGGTCAGGGACATTTTAAAACTCATTTTATGGAATGAGAAAAAAGGTTTTCTGTGAAAACCTTGTTCCACCGTATAAAAACACAGAAATAAAGCCCAGAGGTCAACGTGGAGGTTTTCCTTGGCAAAGCCCTTTATTTTGCTGATAAAAGTACACATCAAAAGGACATTTTCATGCATTCTGCAAACAAAATCTCTTTCCACAAGCGGGTCACTCGGCGTCCCTGGAAACCCTGAGGGTTTGCCAATAACTGGAACGATCTTTATCCTCCCATAAGGCGCTTGTGCAATGCAAACGTTTTTCACTGCTCCAGTAAATAGGACCAATTTTAACTAAGAGTTGGAAACCCGATAATTCCAGTGCGCTCATTGAAAAGAACCCCTTTGGAACAGCTTCGAACCAGGGGGTTTGAAATTTAATAACACGGTGTTTGGTTGACAAAGAGTAAATACAATGTAACAAAACAAGCTAGATATCAGACCGCGCCCGCGTCCCAAAATCAATATCTGCCTTTTCAGGAAGAAAGCAGAGGCCTCGTGTGAGACGAGCCTGCAGATGCGTGAACAGAGACTCACTTGTTGCGGCTGGTGTGTTACAGGCACCACCGTGTGGCGTTCGGAGGACGAGGCATGGGTCCACAATGCTAACACGCCAATCATTATTGATGCACTAGCATGTTGCAGCTGCTCAAGGTGGATCTCATTTTCAGAACTCTATTTGCTTAGTAATGGAAGAGATAATACATTATAAGTTAATTTAACTATTAATTAAAGCTGTCAAATAAATATTTGATGCAGAGAAAACTCAATCGCTAAGGTAAAAATCCTCCTCCTCCTTTCATACAGTATTGGGACAGGAGCAACTAGAATTGTGTTTAGTATTTAATACAACCACCTAACTGAGTTGGAAGTTTCTGTACTACACACGTCTCTCTAGTGCACTGCATAAAACTGTGAGTGAGAGCCTGGCTGCACATATTAATTATGTATTTGAAAGTTCCACCATCTAGTCTGTCATTCGGTCTTATTATGTTGCCCCCCAGAGTGTGACTTGGTGCGCTTGGTTTATCTCGGACCTCCTGGTGTTCGGCCATATGGATGAAGTTGTGTACTTCTCAAAAGTGAGGCCCCGGGGATGGAAACGAGATCAGGAAATGGGAGGGAGGAAGGAGTGAAAACTATTGTTTTCAGTGACTTGTGTTATTAATGTACACGTCTGACTGTGCATGAGATGGGGGAGCGCGTGTTGTGTGACTGACAATGACAGTGATGGTGACGAACGAGAGGGGGCCATTCTTCTGTTAATTACTGAGCTAATGACACACTACGCTTCAGCGAACATGCAACATGGCAGGCTGATGCATACACACAATAATACCGGCTAAGTGTGCTTCTGCGCTCGCAAAATCTGGCAGGCAGCTAGACAGTGAGATAGCGGACTAAAAATGATATACACAGACCTCCTCCCCCTCACACACACACACACAGCAGAAGCAACTGACAGGGAACCTCATCAAACCGGCTTTAATGAAGTCACTTCTCCCAAATAGGAAAGAGGAAGAAAGGAAGAATGAGAGGAGGAGGGCAGAGAAGGAGGACAAGGTCGCCTGGATTGATGGCGCTCATTAGCCTAATAAGGTACATTAATGAAGCGGGCCCAGCACTATAGAGTGCCATAGAGTCTAAAGACACACACACACACAACTCTGCCTTGTGTTGTCTCTTGTACGTGACCATAGCTGTCTCTCCCACAAGAAAATACCCCCCACACACACACACACACACCAGACACACTACAACACACTGATCAGCTTACACACAAACACAGCGCCACATGGGAAGACACTCACCTCTCCTTCTGAGGACTGCAAGAGGAGGTCTTTCCTACAGGACGCCGTGAAGTCCCCCACTCCGGCATTGACTTCCACCCCTCTTGGGGCCTCAAGGGTCAGGGTTCGAGTCGGTGACTCCAGCCTGAGGGCCGTAAACACACATTAGACACGCTGTGGAACTCCACATGCAAAAAATACATTTTGTATGAAAAGAAGCCTGCTAACTTCTTCTCCTGTGGGAGCATGAAGACCGGATCGATAATGAGCGGACTGAAAATGCGGCTCCCAATCCCCTGGCTGCTCGATCAAAAGCAGCAGAGGGCCACGGTGGTACAGGTTGGGCCCGTACACCGAGGAAACACCAAGACTCCCCGATGCTGCTCCAACGCATACAGCCCTTCAGCTCACTCAAACACGCTCACTTTTTGCTGGATTTATTCATCCTCACATGACTAACCGTTTCCCTGTGGCGGTAGATCTCCACCAGATCTGTGAAGCAACGCCTAACTTTGCCTTTGAGGAAGCCTACAAGAACGAACATGAGCTATCACACGGCACTGTGGCTGAGTGCTCTGGCCACGGTTGGCGTCACTCCGCTTGGAGCGCAAGGGGTGAAAAGCTAAGACTGTGACTCCGAGTTGAAAACAATAGATGATTAAACCGCTTGGTGGGGTCAGATAAGCACAGTGCTTCGCTCAAGGGCACGTTGGCAAGTGAGATTAAAGAGAGAGCTTTGGGCAAAGCAGACAGAATTACAAGTATAACAAATCCAACTACGAAAAAAAGGCTTTGCTTTTTGCCAATTTTCCAGAGAATCGTTGCTCAAGGGTACTTCGGAAAGTTGGTTTCCCAACTGAAGGGATAAAGCATACCAGCCTAAAAAGGGTGGATTACCTGAATTTAGAACGAGCGGCCAGTCCGGGGCCAAACAACGGGGGTGTGTGAACGAGGGTTAGCGATGGCACCACCTTGGTAATGTCCTTCACTTAAATAGAGAAAATGCAGATTGAATCATGATTCCGCCTCGTTCTTGGCGTTTCCACTTGTATTTCTTGTAAGTTCCCTCCCTCCCGTTTGCATCGTAATGTCGCTCTGTCTCACACCTCGACCCACCCGCCGGATGGTTGCGTTCCAACCTTGTACTAATGGATAATTCAAACTCACAGTTGAAGCTGTGCGAACATGCTGTTCCTGTGTTTTTCTGTGGTAGGATCGCGTGATCTCAGTCTGCCTCACCAGTAAGCCCAGCACGCTATGACTCAGCACTCCAACCTCATCCCTTATCTAATAAAACTGCACTGAGCAGTTCCCACGAGCTGTCCTGGTTCTGCTTCTGGGTTCCATGGTGACGCAGCACTATTTTCCTCAGAGGCCCTTTGGTAAATTAAATTGTTTTTTTATTCTGAAGATGCAAAGATTTGCAGACAAAAAATAGCTCGCCCAGACGATGTTTCCTCCTTTTAAATCGACATGCACATAGATATATTTCTATTTCAATATGGCTTCATATCTCCTTTTTTTCAGTCTGTTAACGCGATTGGAAAAACGATTCACCCTGAGAAGCCATTTAATTTTGTGTTGAGTCTTTAAAATGTCTTTTGAAAATAAAAACACCAACTGATATCTAAAGGAATTACTTTAATTCCAAATTAGACTTTACTTCCATTACGATGTGCTGAATTTGAGCATATTACTAGTGATGACATAATGACACTTGAGGTTCAACAAATGGCTGAAGGAGAGTTTGCATCAGAATAATCTCTTCTCAGCCTTCTAATTTGCTACCCTTATTTAATGAAAATGGGAGTTTATGGGTCCGCTTCAGACTAAATGGGCACTTTATTTCACTCAGTGTGATGGAAATGACCGTCACAAATCAAACCATTTCCTCAATCAGCATGTCAGAGCCAGCTGTGCTACGTACTGTTGGTTAACGACAAAGCTACTGTAAGAGAAGTCATGTGGTGGATTGAAGGTGAGCGAAGGTTCACCGCCGTGCAGACAAGAGCATCCAAGTGAAATAAGTGCTGGAAGCAGACACTCATTCACATTGGGACTGAAAAAAAAGATTGCGTGTCCCGCAGCAGTCAGAGGAAAAAAAGACAGACGACCAAACAGAGTACATGAGAGGGAAGCTGTACTGGTCATCAGCCGTGATGTGAGGATCTTCAGCTGGTTGGACAGTCGAGGCAATTACAATGACGCTGCTTGGAGGCTGAAACCAGCTCTGATGGGCAGATGCACACATACCGGCCATCACTGTCTACTGTCCCCGTCTCTCAATCTCAGCGTCACAGTCCCTGACGGCTTTTGTCATTGTCCCAACTCACATGTCCTTTTTTTACTTTCTTGACCTACGTTTTACCCTATGTTTTAATTTCCCTGAGCATATCTGCATATCTGATATCAACGGTGCAGTTGTACCCAAAATGTTTATATTGATTTTTTAATTTTGCTTACAAAAAAGGTGAAAGACCTCTGGTTCTGAGATTCTTTCTAATGGAAATAAGGGAGTGAAAACAAGAAGGTGACGGATAAAATGCTGAGGCTTTAAAACGGCAGTGCTGAGAACAAACGGGGAACATCACTGAGACTTTGTCTTACACATGGTGTATGCACTCAGGGAGAAATGTAATGAGCCGGAGGGAAATGCAAGTGTCCGAGAGGGAGATTCTGTAACTTGTATGATAATGTGTCCGGTTCCCGACCGCACGGAGAAATCCATTCTGTCCCCGTCGGTCGAGTTGGCAACAGAAAGCCATGAAAAAAGCTGCTGTGTGATGCATTGAGCAGGACCAGGACGAATGGGTTTCATAATAAAATTGCCATGAACATCGATTAAGAGCTGAAAAATTGGGTTTGCGGTTTCAACTTGATTAACTTTGGATAATTGATGTGTTGGATGATAGTCTGGAGGCCAGTGTTAATGCTGTGTACTTTATTACTGTTCTGTGAATGATGATGTTCCTAATTTACGAATGCGCCCGTAGCTCATGTACTTGAGGTATCAGCATTCTCACAAGGGCCTCAGAACTACGTGTTGAGTTGGCAGTTTAAAGCCAGGAAGTGCAGGGTTCTTTCTTTTTTTGTTGATGCCAACACTCGCAACTAAGACAAGGAACAAGGTAACATTAGCAGTTAAACATCAGTACATTAGCATTATTATTGATATATTCTCAAGGAAGCCTCACAGTGGAAAATGTAAGACTTTTGTCTCGTTAGTACGAAGATAAGTAAGATATGAAAATGCTGGACAGAATTATCTCAACAGCTAATGGATATATTACCATTTCATTTTACACAAAAAGTCATGTTCCTCACTGGAAGAGTTCTGCTAAAACACTAATAACACTGTAAACAATGCACTAGTTATTATTTTTTAAAGAAATTGAGTGGAGACATCCATCAGTTTGTTCTATACTTCATCCAATACTTGGCTTCTCAATTAGCGTTTAAGACAAAGATAAAACTGCCGCTAAGTGGAAAACGGGGCGTTGGAACCCCGGGGGACTATTTGTCGTCTCACATATAAAAATGTCCGTACCTCCCACATTCATGGCAGCAAAGTGAGGAGCATATTTTTTTAAATATTTTGTAATCATCTATTAAAAGGAAAATGTATGAAGGTGTGTCTTACAGATACAAATGCTTAGTCTCCAGGTGAGATGTTAACTTTAAAATTAATTATTATCAGAAAGAAATATGTTCTCTTCCACTCTGCTTATAATTCTCACTGTAGAACCCCACTACACCCTCTCCGTTCAGTCATTGATCTGTTTTGACCTTCAGTTGCGACAAGGCCGTTTTATAAAACACCATATTTGTCCAACCTGACAAGATAAGCAGGCAGAAATAGATCAACATGGAATGCTTTTTATCCCAATTCATTTCTAGGGGAAAACAGGGGGGAAAAGGTGAGGCCCAACATATTCTAAATGAAAAACGAAGAGGAGGATCAATTATTGCATTTAAAAAAATCCTGACATATGCATTTGTGGGAAATAGAAGTAGAGATTAACAATCAAACTTTTCACCTTGTGATTTTATTAAAGCAACGTTCTACTTTATATTTATAGTGTATTGATCATTTCCGTTTTGTCTTTTGGTCTTGCCTGCTGGGAATAAGGTTGGAAAACCTGAACAGAGCTTCTGTGGTTAGTTGGGGCTCAAAAGATAAAGTTGTTCTATTGACAAACACCTGGCCCTGAAGTTGGACCTCATTTCAATATTGTCAACATGAATAACATTTGTTGAGTATGAATTCGTCTAAGGGTTGCTGAAAAAAAAAATCCTGGTATTCTATTGACTTCTTATGCAGAACTGCTGTAAACAGCACAAATGTTCGTGATATCTACAATGTCTCCGTGCTGCTCAAACACCCCGGAGAGCAGGAGGGCGAGCCAGCATGCAGGTACCAGGGTCCTGAAAGCAAAGCATCCAAAGGCATTTCAGCCATCACTCATTCCGTGTGGTTTTCCTGCTGCATACTAAATCAGTCCTTTATCAAGTAAGTTTATATTCTTCTTACCTCTAAGCATCCGTGTCGCATTGTGTCGGAACCTTGTCCTCTTACTACGGGAGTTCCGCAGGGTTCCGTCCTGGGTCCCCTTCTCTTCTCGCTCTACACCAACTCTCTCGGCGCGGTCATTCGCTTGCATGGCTTCTCCTACCACAGCTATGCCGATGACACACAACTAATTCTCTCCTTCCCTCCCTCGGACACCCAGGTGGCGGCACGGATCTCTGCCTGTCTGACTGACATCTCTCAGTGGATGTCCACCCACCACATGAAAATCAACCCCGACAAGACTGAACTACTTCTCTTCCCAGGAAAAGACTTTCCGACCCAGGACTTGACTGTCAACTTTGGCAACTCCGTATTAACGCCCACTTTAACCGCCAGGAACCTCGGCGTCACAATCGACAGCCAACTCTCCCTGACTCCCAACATTACTGCGACAACACGATCCTGTAGATACACTATCTACAACATCAGGAGAATACGTCCTCTTCTCACTCAGAAGGCTGCCCAGGTACTGATTCAGGATCTTGTCATCGCACGCCTGGACTACTGCAACTCGCTCCTGGCAGGTCTCCCTGAGTTTGTACCCTATGGTTGAATGCACTTATTGGAAGTCGCTT